AAACTTGTTCCTTGACCCTGCCCTGCGAGCACCTCTGATAAACAGGAAGGCATCCACGCCATCAGTATCTATCCCTCTTAGAGCATCTGAGACCTGTCTAAGCCATCAAAGGCGTCCCCAGACCCCAGGAGCATTCTGGAGGGGACTCCAGACTCACCAAAAACAATTCCCCATTGTGTTCCCCCCTCTTGGAAATCAGGGATTTGTAAACAGGCCCTTACATTTAGACAGGTCCTGCCCTGTCTTTGTGCTGGTGTGTTTTTTCTTCCCTAAACAATGTCCTTTCCAGCAGGGCCAGCCTGTTCACACCATTGTCTGAGACCCTTGGACTACAGGAAACAGCACCAGATTCTTATCAGCTGGGGGTGGGGGGCAGCGTGAACAGATGAGGTCATGTCCATAAAGCAAGCTGCTGGTCTGCCACATCATTCTTCTGTACCTTTATCTGTGAGAGCAGAGCCCCCCTTGTCCTCCTAACAGGCCTATCTGGGCTTTCTGTGTCCCTCATACCGTAGTTCTTTCCATTTGATGACAGACACCTGGACTCCACCGCAGGCCGCTGTTGATTCATTTTGGAATCCTTGCCAGCCCGCAAAGGTCCCCCTTTCCTGGTCTTGCCTCTCTGCCCAATGGGATGCTTATGGAAGTGAAACACACCCCATTGGGCTGGATTAGGGTACACTCCAATCGTCTTCCTCCCTGGGGGAAAGGGGTCAAGACTGGTCACCTGAGTCCTCCTCAGCAGAGTCCTTGAGTGCAAGCTCTCAGCTGAATGCTAAGGTCTGGGTGAGGATAGGGGCAGGTGTCCCTTATGAGGCCTCCCCGGAGTCTGTGCAACATTTCCATCCTCAGCGGAGAATGGGCTTTTAAAAGGCTGCATTGAGGAACCAGAAGTTTCCCTAGTGAAAATCCAGCAGGGAAAGTGAAAGCCTTCATTAGGATAAGGCCTCTAGGGAACCGGCCCAGTAGTGGTACCCATGGCCAGGGTGAGCAGGGGAAGGGCAGTGAGAAGTGGGCACAGGGCCATAGTTGCTGTTTCCTCATCTCCTGTTCCCCAGAGGTGGGGGTGAGGCTGGAAGAGGAGCCAGGGCAGGGGCCCAACAATCCTTAAGCTCCTACTCAGGTATTGTGCGAAACCTAGCCTCTCCCACTCAGCCTCTCCCTACACCAGGGCCAAGTCTGCGGTCTCAGAAAACCCTGGAGATTTGATCTTGGTGTGGCCTGAAACTTCTCCTTTGGGAGATCCTGAGAACCAGCAATTGGGGAAGCCTGGGGTGGATCCCTAACTAGGAATGGAAATCAGGCTGTTTCTGAGCAACTGTCTCCTAGTTCTAAGAAGGAGATGTGGCTGGCTGGAGAAGCCTCCGTGCCCTGGACTGACAGAGGCGTGTGAGTGAGTTCCCTGCCCCACCCTCCACCCCCAACGTAACTGATCTGGGCCCCTGGAGGGGACAGCATGGCCCCTGATGGCTGTTGCTTGCTCCCTCCTCCAACTGAGGGTTTCGAGGGATGTCTAGAAACTGACCTGGGCTCAGCTGAATGCAAGGAGGCCACTTGAGAAAGTGAAAAGAGCTGTTTTCCTCCTGTATTCTGCTCCTTCCCTACACCCACCCTTCCTTATAAATGAGTCCCTTGGACTGCTGGACAGCCACAGGCTTGGGGTGAACCCCAGTCATCCACAGAGGATCTGGCCAGGAAGCGGGCTGTGGAGGCAGACTGAGTGTGGGAGGATCGGCAGAGGCCAGACCAAAGGGCCAGCAGACTGGCGGCGTGGCTGCCTTGGCCTGGGATGGTGGGTCCTGCTCTGGTGCCTGTCGTGGGAAGCCAAACTGTGGCTCTCCGAACTGGGAGGCCAGGGCCTCCACAACTTACAGGCTTAGAAAGCAGAGATTAATAAACTAATCTCACATGGCAGGGGAAGGAATTAATCAAATCCGCGTTTTCTCAAAGTACGTTTCAAAACATTAGAAACATGAGGCGGTGATCACTTGATGGGAAAAAAGGACCCCAGGTTTGGGAGAATCATGTAGCTTGTAGCAGACATGCAAATCAATGAGACATTATCGTGGGCTTCTTAGGGACTTCACAGGGCAAACGCGCTGCACACACAGCAGCTCTGTGGGGCTAAAGGGACAGAAATCCCCATATTTATTTGACCCTTGTCACCTTACACCCATTTGGGAAATGATGACACTGGCCCAAAGACAAGGGGAAGTATGGGACTTTGAGGAAAAAGCTGCCAGAGAGAGAGAGGGAGGCCCCTGAGGCAGGAAATATGGCTTCAAAGTGGGAGGCCTGGGGGGAGAAGTCCAGGCCCAAGGGTTGGGAAGGTGGGAACAGAGTTTTTGTGGCCTAGGGAGAGAAGAGGCTGTGGAGGCCGAGTACCTCCCAGCCCCACACTCTGTGCCAAGGGGGTGCTGATGATGCTTCCTGGGCGATGGCTTAGAACAGGGCACAGTGGTTCGGTGCTGTCAGGCCCAGGGGCAAAAGGAGGACCCCTGCTCCAGGGCTTCAAGATGGGTCAGACGACCAACTTGTTAAGCCCCCCTACTTTGGCGTATGGATTGAGGGGCCCATACTCAGCATGCTAGCAAGAGGTTAGCCTGGCAAGATGCCCCTCTCCTCTTCGAATCACTCCTGCCTTTTCTGGGCTCTGTTATCTGGGCAGGGGCATGATGTCACCGGGGGAGTAGGAGCCACGGGCTGTGGCGCCTTCAGCAGCATCCAGACTTCCCCTCCTCCTCACAAGCTTCTGCCCTCACAGCGCAGCCCAGCACCCCAGGCAAGAGCACAGTGGCCTTAATATATGTTGGTATGTGGCACGCCAAGTAGACAGGCACCAGTCCAAGTGTTGCTGTTACAAATATTGAGTGTTATTGTGGAAAAAGGAGCAGGGCTGCCTACGTGCCCAACTGCCCTTTGCCAGCAAATTTTTTTTCTGACTCAAGATCTTCCTGAAGCCCGAGAAGGTCAGTCTCAGAAGCCTGAGGGGCAGGAGTTTCCTAACTTAATAAGCCATCTCAGTTTCCTAGACAAAGCACTTTGACTTCTTCCTTCCTTCCCCTCATGTCCATCTCCCTCCCTTCTAGAATATACCCCTTAGGGTGTCCTTCTCCCGTCTGGAATGGATGGAAAGGCTCTTCCTTTCTAGCTCACACAGATGGTATCAGTCAATTTAGAACAGAAATACAGAGATGCAATAATGATATAATTATGTGATGTATTCACTCCATCGCTTTCCTTGTAGGTCTGTGTGGTAGACCACCATGTATCCTCATCAGAGCACAGAGGTGGTCATGACAATAAAAATAACAATAGTAATTAGGAGAAGTGTGCTCTGCAGACAGAGAAACCACAAGGCCGATCTCAACATATGAATATAAAAATAGAATTCACACATAGAGGCATTTCCAGGAGTTAATCACACGTAGTACCTCATGGGTGGGAGGTGTGGAGAGTTGGCAAAAGCTGTCCATAATTTTCTAAGTGCAGGTGTTCCTAGTTCAGGATTGTGAGCTCCTCTTCCATTTTCCAGAGTAACTTCCGCCAGAGAACCCTGCCTGTAGCAGCCCATGCCTGGGTCTAGCCTAGAGGCCACTGAGGGCCTGGCCATTTCTTTCTTGCTTCGCTGGAATAGTGGGCCTGCACCTCTGTGCACCACAATTCCTGGGGCTCTGTGTTCTTTCCTGCCCCTCTTGCATGGCTTCTGCCTCTCCCTGTGCTCCCTTCTCCGTCCCTCCTCCCCACAGTCCTCCTCTCCTCTGCTTTAACCTGCAGGCCTCCCAGCCACAGAAACCCCAGGCCCAAGGCATCCCAAGGGGGTGTTGGGTCAATCTCAGTGCCTCTGGTTCACTGTCTGTGAAGTCAAAGAGGAAGGGGGGCCTATTTCGGATCCCAGTTCTCTGGAGGTGATGGGGTGACTCACATAAAACCCAAGGCAGAGGCACAGTCTGGGTTTGAGTTCAACAGAGCAAGAAGCCCTGTCCTGCTTTTTATCTGGTGTTTTTTCCTTTCTTCATCTTGGTTGTTTTCATGGGGGGAATCTCAAACTTGATGCTCTTGTCCCCCTCCTGTGGGTTTTGTGCGTCACTAAACCTGCTCATATGCAGGCTGGGACAGACTTTTCATTCAGTCCTCCTCCTCCTCCCCTCTGTCCTCCCCAGCCCAAGAAACACATCACTGAGTATGGCAAAAACACCCTTACACCCCCAGACCGAATGCATCCCGGCCACCTGCGCCTCACCCCCAAGAACCAGCAGGACTTAGCAGGCTTTTGCCCTCCGTTTTTTTTTCCCCCTTGAAAGAGAAAAGTCTTCATAAATGAAACCATTCACCACCAACCCTGCTTAGTAGAAACCAAAGATTCCAGGGTGGGAGATACCTGGTTTTCCTGTGGCTCCTGAGCTAACGGACACCATCTTGGGTTCTTGAGAATGCCTGCTCTGGGGTCCCCTAGCCCATCCTCGTGTCTCTCACCCTTTCCCCATCCCAGAGGCCTCCCAACCCTCTGTGACAAAGCCCTGCCCCTGGTCCTCCCACCCAGTGGCAGGTTCCCGCCCTCCCCAGCTATGGGCATGCTTGCACTGCCCCGTGAGAGACAGCCCCCTCCTCCTGCCCCACACTTCCCCAGCTCCCCTCTCCCCAGCTCTAGTCCACAGAACGGGGGATGACATTCCCCCACAACCCACCCTCTCCCTGCTCATCAGTCCGGAGACCCTGATGGTGGGAAGGGAGAATCCTGTCAGGAGCTCTGGGCATTGCAGGGAACCTGGCCTGGCAGCGTGGGGTCTGGGGAAGGCAAGTCATGCTGTGAGACACCGCTGGGTTTATGAAGTAGGGCCTGAGGCCCAGACCATCCCCCGGGTGCCAGGGAGCTCTGGCTGTCCATGCTTCTAGGATTCTGTGAGGGAGAAGAAGTGGTGGACAGCGGCAGGGAGCCACCAGGATATCAGGGCACAAAGTGGGGGGAGGGTCTCACTGTTTCACCAGGTCATACTAGGTCCCCTTAAACGGGTGCTACCTGGGAGGCAACTTCCATCTTCCTCCCACTGCCTAAGGGCCCCCCACCCAGGCACCTCCTCGGACACACCCACACAACCACTCCAAGGGTCACTCAGAATGGCCATTGTTCTGCCTGCTGGGAAAGACCCACCCAGCCCTCTCACCACCGGGCACAACCGGAAATGTGCTCTGGGGGCCATATCTGAGAACAAACAGCAGGTCCACTGGGCTTGGCAGCAGCCAGAGGGAGGCTGGCTCCAGCTAGGACTGGGAGCACAGAGGGGCAGGGAACAGGCCTCGGACACGGGGCGCTCCATCGGACCCCAGCCTTTCCTGGGGGCAGCCTGGTAGAATTTCGGGGGGCAGAGACTCCTCTATCTCTAAGAGGCAGTTGGGCATGCGGGCCCCCCTCTGCCCTCGCTGGGTGGGTGGGAGACTCTGGGGGCTGCTGGGCCACCCGGTCCCTCCCGACCACCCTCTGCTCTATGCTCTTCTATGCGGCCTCCACCTCCCGGGGTGTCCGATTGCGCTCGGCCTGCACCCGGCTCTTCACCTTCTTGCCCAGCTCCGGCCCCGGCCAGCTCTTGCCCTTGGCCTGTTTGCCCCGGCTCCTGGAGGAGCACCACACGCGCTCGCAGTACTCGTCTACCCGCGGCAGGTCGGCAAAGCCGATGAGCTGCAGGATGTCCTTATACCAGGCCTTGGAGCGGGCAGAGGCCAGGCCCCCCCGCGCTGGGGGCTCCTCCGGCCTCGGCTCCCGGGGAAACAGGCCGTGGAGCTGTGAGGCCGCGATCACCTCCAGAGCCAGGCGGACCACGGTCTGGGAGAAGCCATGCTCCAGTGTCTTGCAGGTGTAGGTGCCGGCGTCCAGGTGGCTGAGTCTGCGGAATAACAGCCCCTGCTCTGTCTGCAGCACCCGCTCATCTGTCTTGACCTGCTGGGGGCGTGGGAGGGTGTGAGGGGGCGTGGAGTAGGGCACACACACCCACAGTTTCCCTCCCCGCAGTTTCCAGATTCATATCTCAGGGCCCCGTGCTGAAGCACTCCCCTCCCTGCTCTTTCCTGCCCAGGCTGGCTTCCTTCTCCGGACTGTCCGCGAACTGCCGGCAGGCTCTCACCTTCCCAGGATCCAGGATAGGGTCTGCAAACGGGGCTTTTGGTTTCTCCCCTAGTCAGAGCTCTGGGGCACCTACCTTGGCCTTGGGGGAACCTACCACACAGTCCCAGGGACCACAGTGGGTAAAGGTATTTAGGGGCTTCTATTCAGGGAGGGTTATACCCACAGACCTAGGACCAGAAGTCCTCACCACTCTGCACGTGCGTGCGCACACACACACACGCGCGCGCGCGCGCGCACGCAGCCTTCCCTTTCCCTGACTGCACTGTTCATTCTCCCAGCCAGGGGTGGGCTGAGTGCCCATCGCAGGGCAGGAGGCAGCCGTGCTACTCTGATCCGGCCTGGATCCCGTCTGCACATCTGCATGTGGAGGCTGGATCGCCCAGGCGGTAAGTATTGTGTAACCATCTTGTTGCTTGCTGCCTCTGGCCTCCTGGGGGTGTCTTCTTAGTGCCTAACCCAGCAGCTGGCCCCAAGCTGGCCTCCCCCGGTTCCCAAGCTGGAAGGAGAGCCCCTCCTGTAATGAGCGCCCTCCCTTCCCCTTCCCTGCCCGTGGGAGAGGCTGGAGAAGGGTTCCTCACCCTGCCACACCCACGCCCTCCTCAGGCCCCAGACTGAAGCCATTTCTGGGGTTGACAGATCTTTCCGGATGGGGGAGGAGAGGGTCTGGGCAGACAGCTAGACTCCGTGGAGGAAGTGTTGATCTAGGCAGTGGGTGGGTGCTTAGGGGTGTATGTGTGCACAGGTTTCGGTGCAAGTTAGGCACCCCCTGGGCAGAGGAGAACCAAGAACCCCTAGGAAAGAGAACTTTCAGAGAGGAACCTTATGTGTAAAAGCATGGCTTCTTGGCCAGGCCAGCCCCCCCTCCCTCTCTTCCATCTCTGCTCCCCACCTCCCAGAGCTCAACCCAGTGCCTGGGAGTTAGCGGGCTCCCTGTCATGGGACAGCTTGCAGACAGCTCTCGCCTGGGCATTCCCAGGGGCAGAAGGAAGGGCACCTCCTTCTAGGCACCCCAGGGACTTAATACACACTTCTCTTCAGTTGACCTTGGAAGGTTCCCCCCAGAGCCCCTTCCTAAGTTCAGAGAGGGATGTGGCGTGATGACACGTGCAGGCTGGAGGCAGGTCCTTGCTCACCTGGTCAGGCCCCTGGCCCCCTGGCCTCTGCACGAACCAGTGCACGGCCGCCTGGGAAGACTTGGGCAGGCACTCCAGGAAGGTGCTGTTGTGCTCCGTGCCGTAGACCGTGATGGCTGCTGCGGAGCCTGCAGCCTCCTCTGGGGGAAGGGGGGAGCGGGGCTCGGCTCAGGACTGTGGGACCCCGGGGTCCCCCACCAGTGTGACAGGGACCTAGGTGTCCATCACTCTGTCCAAAGACCCTCCACCCATACACTGATGGGAGCTGCACACATAGGAAAAGTGAGGTGGGGGGGGCTGTTAACACAGGACCAATGAGGCCACACTTCCCAGGGTTGAGCCCAGGCCAGAGGGGTGAGGAGGGGCCTGTGGGAGCCCGGTGGGTCTGCGCACACCCTCGCCCCTGCTACCTGCTACCACTCACCTTCCTGGCTCTCAGCCAGACACTGCAGGGCAGGGTTGCCGTGCCGGATGTCCTGCCTGCGGAACCGGCGCTTGCCAGGGCCAGGCCTGTAGCGGGCACAGGAGGCACCGTCCCAGGCACAGTATGGGTCTCGGGCCAGGCAGCACTCAGCACAGGCACTGCCGTAAGTTTCACACTGGTGCAGCCGCAGCCGGGCCACGCCTAGTCTCGAGCCCACGTACAGCGTTTGCTGGCAGGGACACAAGCAGAGCCAACATGAGCCCAGGCCCCACCTAGAAGCAGCTAGGCTCTTGGCCCCCTTGGGCTTCCTGAGAGCACCCCACCATTTGCAGGCAGTCTTCCAGAACCTCTTGGGTGCCTCCCCAAAGGCCAAAAGTGTTTATCATGCACCTGACACACATCAGATCCTGTGCTAGGACACAGAGGGCAGGGGGCAGACCTTGTTTCCTAAGGGGCTTCTCCAGGCCCTTCCTGCTGCTGACTTTTGCTCTCTACCTCAATAACCTTTATCCTGACTTGCCTCTGAGCTTAGAAGTACACTCTGCTTTAAGCAATCCCAATACAAAAGTTGGGATTTACCCAAAGATAAACCGGGGCAATAAGCTTGAGATTTTGCCGCTTGCAAAAGGACCCAGCAGGCCTCTAAAAAGTGGCTCTCCCTTGCAAGGTTTAAATTCTGGATTTTGTTTTCAAGCAGGAAGCTGTCGGCCCAGGGGGACTGGCCTTTGTGGATCTCCCCTTCTCTGAACACAGCCTCACTTACTCAGGGTTCCCACTGTCCACTGGTTTCATGCATGGCATCTCAGCTCCCTGCTGGACTCTTGAGCCTCATGGCAAGGCCTCACCAGGCAGCCCCAGGGCCTGCTGCAGCCCCGCTTTCCAGCAGACAGCAGCCTGTCGTGCTCAGAGAGTTTCAGAGTGGGGGTCAGAAGAAGGAGGAGGGGTGGGGTGGCAGCTGCTCTTACCCTTTTGACAGAGATCTCCATCTCGGTGATGGGTGTTGGCACCTGCAGAAGGAGGGTCTCAGAGAGGGGTGGGCTGGGGCCAGCTGTGTCACTCCTTCAGCCTCCTCCAGCCCTCACATGGGAGCCACCTACCTCCCAGCCTGGGTCAGTGAACTCCCTGGCAACTAAGGCCAGACAGTCTTTCCCAGACATTGGGTTATTAGAAAGGTCCCCTCACCCTGGCTGGCCTCCAAGGAGGAGGCTTAGTGGAAAGCACAAAGCTCCAGTGTCCCCTCCCACAGCCCTGTTCTCCAGGAATGAGGCAGCTGTCCCACATGACCCATCCCATGTCAGGATCCCAGCAGTCCCCCAGATGCAGATGATGCCCTGCCTGGCCCACAGAAGCCCTTAGAGACTTGGGGGTCTCAGCCACCCCCTCACTGTGACTTGAGCCTGGCAGGGTTTTGTCAAGGGGAGATCACCTTGGACACCCCTCCCTAGGCCCTCCAGACTTTCTCTGGGCCCCACGGCCAGACAGCATCAGCAAGGCAATTTCTCCTCCACTGGCTGTGAGCTCATTAAGGACAGGCCCATCCCCCTCCTGCACTTTGCTCCTGTGTCCCAGGAGCCAGGCCTAGACCCAGCAGTGGGGCTGGAGGGGACCCTTCCCATCAGTGCTCCCTCCCCTCAGTCTGCCCTCACCTTAAACACCTGGAGCTCCTCCAATACCACCTCCTCAGACTCAGTGGAGCCCCCACCCTGGAGAGCGATGACCTTGAGCACGGAGCCTGAGTCTGGGGCAGGGGAGAAGGGGTCAATGGGAGAAGGAGCAACCCCCTCCAGCCTACACACCTCCCCGGCCGGGCCACCCCACTCAGCCCACCCACCAGTCCCCAGGAAGATGACGTCGTAGGTCCCGTCCTCCGCCTCCACACGGTCCACCACGATCTGGTGCAACTGCTGGGCCAGATGCGTTTTGACAAGCACGGGGCGGCCCCGCCGTGGCCGCACGGGCCAGAACATAAGTGGGTGGGCTCGGGCAAATTGCAGCACCTCATCTGGATAGTTCTTGGTGCTGCCAAAGGGTCGTCCTGGCTGTGCTGTCATCTTGCTGGGGCACTGTGAGGAGCGGCAGGGGGGGCACCTGAAGTGTCCTGGGGCCACACACTCCCCAGCCCAGCCTGTTTCCAGGTCCCATGGCCTGGGCATGCCCACATCAGAGGGGCCGTGCTTGCCATAGCAGAGGCTCCTTGACGTGGCCAGGCCTCTGCTCCCCTTCTTCCACCACCCGGCCCCTCTGGAGTCCCAGCCCAGCCGCAAGGTTGTCCCAAGGTAGAAACCCTCTAGGAACTGCTCAGCCCTCTCTCCCGGCCTGGCTCCAGGCAGACACTCACCACTCCAGGCCGAGGGAAGGGCACCTTGCCCCCATAGGGTCCCCACTGGTGCTGGGGACCATCTTGGTGGGCAAAGGGCCCCTTGAAGACCTCCCAGATATCCTCCATGTGGTACACGCAGACAGCGAATCCCTGGAACACGGCACTGCCAAGGACGCACAGGGACAGTCAGGCCAGAGTGGCTGTCACAGGTGGGAAGGGGCAGCCTGGCTCCATGGACAGGACAGAGGGTGATCGTGCCTGCAGACAGCCAAGACCAGAAAACAAAGACACCCAGACAAAGACAGAGAGAAGGAGGGAGAAAATAGAACCTCCGAGTCCTTGAGTCAGGAACAGAGACAGAGACCCACGGTAAAGTCGGGCCACAAAAGCAGGGGCTCGACAGAGGACACTAGTGTGCAGAGACTGAACCAGGGCTGGGGATATGAGGGGAGACCCGTGTGCCCACCTGACTGTGCTAAACAGAGCATACACCTCGAGGGTCTTCCCTGAGCTGGGCCACAGCAGGAACACGTCCTCTGGGAGACAGAAGGTCACTGTCAGTGCCGCCCACTCACTGCTCTGAGCCCTCTGCACCCGCACCCGCACCCGCACCGGGCCCTGGCCACAGCCTTACCCAGCTGGTCAAAGTGGGTCTCGGCACCACCAGGGCCAGGCACCGAGCACACCAGCCTGGCCTTGAGGAAAGTGCTCCATTTGCTCACCAGCACGCGCTGGCCACCGAGGTCATTCTGGGGGTAAGGGTCAGAGTCAGCCTCCAGCTCCATGGGGACGGGCCTCCCTCCTGCTCCTCCACGAGGCACGGATGCTGGCTTCACACCCTTGCCTCATTTTCCCTCCTGCTGCTCGTGGGGACGGGCGTAGGAAGGGAGTGTGGTGAGGATCTGACCTCACCGCCTCCTCTCGGCTCTCACCACGCAGACACGGCCGACGCGGCTGACGGTGACACGGCCTGGGCCACCATCGGGTGAGGGCACAGTTTCCGAGAAGAAGAAGTACACCTTGTCATCATCCTGGTCAGAGTTGTCAGCAATGCGGGCGGCCATCACAAACCGTGGGTCTGGGAGGTGACAGGGTGCAGCTGGTTGGGGGAACCTCACAGGGAAGGATGGGAGCGGGGTGGGGGGAGAGGTACCGAACCTCCACTGTGGGCTGGAGTCCCAGGGAGTAGAGTGGGGCTGGGCTGTCCCTCCCATCCCCACTCCAGTGCTAGGCTCTCCTGCCTCCCTGTCAGGGCTGGGGGCAGATCCCAGTCAGCCTTGCCCCTGGAAGACCCTGGGCTCACCATGTAGGAGGTTCTGGTCAGAGTCAGAACGCAAAGCTGGCCGGGGACCCCCACTCCGGAAGATCATGGCCTCGCGCCCCAGGAAGTCAGCCGTGAGGCCCGTGTACAGCTCCCCACCTGGGTGAGAATGGGGCAGAGTCAGGGGAGGAGGGCCAGGTCCCATAGCTGGTCCCAACCCTTCCCAGTGACATTAACCAGCACCCACCCTCCTCATGCCCGTCCTGGCCTGGACATCACCCACCTACAGAGGTGCTGGCGAAGGGACTGCTGGGCTCATGTGGGCACCGCCCCCGCCCACTTTCCACACTGCTGGGCTCAAGGTGGAGCACATGCTGGGGGAGAGGGAGGAAGGGAGGGAAGGGTGTCACCTGGGAAAGCAGCCCAGCCCCCCCCCCAGGCAGTGGCCATCGCGTGCAGCTGGAGAGTGGGCGGAAGATGTCCTCATTCAGGGCCCCGACAACGGGGTCAGCCTGGCACAAAGATGCCTTTCAGCCCCTGACCTCTCTGCCCTGAGCCGGGCTCAATGGGAAGTGTTCAGACAGCAGGGCAGAAATGTCACTGCATCCCAGTCCCTTGTGGGGCCTGTGCTGGGCTCACCTCCCCACGGTGCCCGACCGTGATGAGGGCACAGGTGGGCTGAAAGGCCCCAGTGCCGCACGCCAGCAGGTGGGTCCGGTTGTGGGGCTGCAGCACCCGTACGAAGTTGGCACACTCCACCTAGCAGGGAGAAAAGGGGTGCGGTGGAGGGGGTGAGGAGGTATTTACCATCTCCATGGTCCCCAGGACTCAGCCCTGCCTGGCTAATCAGCTCTGGGGACCTAGGGTAAGGGTGACATTCTTCACAGACTTTCAAGAGCCCTCAGGATCTGCTCCAAATACCCCTAGCACAAGTACCTCTGGGGAGTGGCCCCAGGCTGTCCTGGGGGTCAAGCCCTGGGTGTTGGTCATGGTTGGGGGACAGTCACTCCTTTTTTTTTTTTTTAAGATTTTATTTATTTACTGGAGAGTGAGAGAGAGAGAGCATGAGAGCTGAGAGGGTCAGAGGGAGAAGCAGACTCCCCGCTGAGCAGGGAGCCTGATGCGGGACTGGATCCGGGGACTCCAGGATCATGACCTGAGCCAAGGATAGTCGCTTAACCAACTGAGCCACTCAGGCGCCCGGGCAGTCTCTCCTGACAGCACTCACCAAAGGATCTCTTCCCTTGCGAACACACTCCTCCTTCTGTCCTGGCTGCGGTGGCCACTGGACCTGAAAGAGAGCCTGGCTGACGCCTGATCTCACAGCCTGTTTCCCCGTCCAGCCTCCCAGCTCACAGAGAGACCCTCCTTTCCTCCATCCCGCTCACCTCCCGGGGATCCGGCCACGACTGGTCTAGCCGCAGAGAGTAGATGGCATCACGGCCCCCCAGAAAAAGGCGGTCCCGGTACTCATCCAGGTACATGGCCCGAAGGTCCAGGGAGCCCCGGGGACCCAGAAAGACAGCTGAACGGTTGGCAGACAGGAGATCTCGGAGGGAGCAGATTGGAAGTCAGCGAGTACTGCTCCTCCCACTTCCCCTGCTAAGGTGTGGAGCTGGAGGGCCCCAGCTGTGCATTCACACACACACACACACACACACACCCCACATCTGGGAAATGTTTCCAGCCCCAGGCCTGCTGAAGGGCTTCTGGGAAATGGCTCCTGGGAGTGGGTGGGACAGGGGGCTCTGAGCCCTGCTTCCTACCCCTTCATCCTTTAGTCCCTTGATCTTTCAGTTAACATTTCCTTCCCATCTGTGCCCATCTGTGCCCACTCCGGTCCCCAGGGAAGATGGCGCCACCAGCAGAACTTATGGTAGCAAGCTGGGCAAAGTGCTGGGAAGAGCCCAGGGGAAGGCTGAGTGAGTGTGAGCAGTGGGCAAGGCTGACTCCATGGGACAGGTGGACAGACATGGGAGAGCATTTCCAGCAGAGGAAACACCTGACAAAGGCCTGGGTATGGGAAAGGCCAGCTATGGTCAGGTGGAGCCCAAGGCTCTGGTCCAGGGATGTGACTAAGGAAGACTTTCTCCTCCGTAGACAATGCCCTCCCAGGCCCCAGCTGTGGGGGGTGGCTGGCTGGGGATGACGCTGGGCCCAGGAGCCGAGGATCCTGAAATAGTTTCCTGGGGTTTGGCTAGGGAGGTGGAGGTAACAGGTGGCCAAAGGAGCATGCAGCAGGATGTGGTGGGAAGGAGCGTTGGCCACCCCTGGGAAAGCCAGGTATCCCACACCTGCCCAAAAGTGGCAAGCCCGCACCCACTCCATCCCCAAACTCATCAACAGCCTCTTCCAGGAAGCCCTCCATGGCTGACAGTACTTTCAAGGGGATTTGCCCTATTTAAGCTTTTTCTTATGGCTTGACTTTTGCCCCAATCCATAGCTCCCAGGACAGGACCACGTTTTCCCCCTGCACCAGACCCAACCACGGACTCCGGAGTAGAGCCATGTCTCCTCTCCCAGACCTTCCAGAGCAGGCTGGGTCTCCCCACTTGGTTGGGGGTTCCCAGGGAAGGTGATCACCCGTCTGGTTTCCCCAAGAAGTGGCATGGGGCTCCCGTGTCTCAGGGACCTTCCCCGTGGACCATCCCCACAGATTCAGAGAAGTCTGCACCAGCTACAGCACGGAGTACCGGGTTAGAGCTGCAGGGGCACCTCCTGGGCCAGGATGGGCCAAGAGGGGAGGCTGTGATCCCCTTTGGGCTGTGAAGAGCCTCTGGAACAGAAAGGGAAGGACAAAAGCCAGCACTATGAAGTGGGCTACAAGAGGCAGATGGGAGGTGGGGGCCTCCAGGCTGTGGGGACAGGGCGAGGGATTCCACTGCAGGCTGCTGGTCCAGGCTCTCACAGGTGCCCAGGCTCAGTGCACACCTCCTCCAGACCTGTCCTCTCCATCCCTCCCCATCTCTCCCTGCCCATCCCTACCGAGGCCTCTCAGGGCCTCCACGCTTCTCTCCTTTTCTCAGAAGCCCCCTCAGGTTGTTCCCCTGCGTTTCTGCCTCTCCCTCCTCCACCCTCCGGGGACCTGCCCCTGCCCTCCTCCCAGGTCCCGCCTCTGGCAGCAGCTGGATCACCATCTCCGGGAATGACCGTGAAGTCCTTCCCACGGGCTGTATGGGAGTGACCGCATCCCTCTGGCGGGCAGAAGAGACTGCCCAGGGGCTGGCTGGGCACCTCTGAGCCGGGGATGTCACAGGGTCCCGGACTCCCACAGACGCACCCTTGAACAGGGCGTGCACTGCTGGTACCTCGGTAGGAGAGCCGCAGGCGGGGCACGCTGGGGCCAGGGGTGGGGCTGCCCCCGTGGAGCAGGAGGCCCCCCAGGAGGCAGCAGATGGCCCAGGCCGAGGGGGCCATGCTGGGGAACCGAGGGCACCACGCTGCTGGCCGAGGTGCCCCGGGTCCGCCGCTGGCCGCTGGTTGTTGTTCGTTCCACGGCCGGCCGCCAGGCCTGACACTTATAAGGCAGCGGCTCCGCCCCCTGTAGGGCCCAGAAGGCGGGAAGGAGGAGGGAGGAAGGGAGGGAGGGAGCAGCGGGAGGCCCACCCCGCCTCCGTTATCCACCTGCTGCCTTTCTCTCCACCCTCATTGGCGTGGTTAATGGCCTCTGTGTCACATTGGCTAGTTTCCCATTGGGGAGACACTTTCCCGGCTGGGGTGTGGGTGGTTTACACGAAATGTCCACAAACCCAAGTCCCCAGGCTCCAACAAAATGTCAAGGAGGCCGGGCGGGGTGGCAGGGGGGGGGCGACATAGCCTGGAAGAAAAGTCAGGGGTCAGAGATCAGAGGTTGCTGGGCTGGCTAGAAGTCTAGCTGAGCTTTTCTTTGCTCCCTGCCTTTCCATTGCCCATGACAGAGACCCCACGACAGAAACAAACTGACTCTGGCCCAGATCCCTGATACCAGGAGTGTCCAGCTCCCCAAAGCCCTGCCTGGCTCCCCAGCTCCCCTGGCAGGGCCTAAGTTGCCTGGGAGGGTCATTCCAGTCCAAGAGACTCCATGTTTTGGGTGGGGGCTTGACGTCTGGCCACACTTCATAGATCTGGGGTTGGCAAGAGATGAGCCCAGCCTCCTCCACCCAAGCCTGTCCCTGTCTGGCCTCCAGGCCCCTTCCCAGCTCACTGGGGCAGAGGACAGGATGCACTTCATGCTTGGGGACTCCCCCATTATCCCTCAGCCCTGCAGATCCACCAGAGCTCTAGGCCTCAGTGTCACCAAGGGAGTAGTGGGTTCTTCCCAGAGTTCCCCTTTACACACAGACACTATACCTATGTCCCTCCAGAGTGAGGGTGGAGGTAGGACACTTACCCCATCCCCCATTCCCTCTGCCCTGCGCACTGATTCAGGGCAGGCAAGCCACAGAAGAGGGACAAAGGAGAGACGACCTTGAGGGATTAAATAGGGGCAAGTGAGGAGACCTCCCTATGCCCCCATCCCGCAGCAGTCTCTGCCTGCCCCCCGCGGCTGCCATTCCATCCCACCCTAGAGTGCTTCACTCAGAATCTGAGGTTCTAGGCACTAAGATCTCAGATGTCAACCAGAGCTGGAGCTCCAAGGATCCTAGAAATTCCTGCAAGTTAGTCCTCCCAGATGGACCAGCCTGAGCTCTTTGATGGTGGTCAAGAAACTTGGGGCCATCAGAGAAGGAAGGACCTGGCCCAGTCACACTGCAGGCTGAAAACAGGCCCTGCTCAGCCCTGCCCCTTCCTAGAACTCTTTTCCTTCTGGGACTTCTGGGGTCCTGGGATCCTTCCTTCCCTACCCCCATCTCATCCCTGGAAGGGAAACAGGTTGGCTCCTTGAGTCAGCATGAGAAGGACCCAGGGACCTGGAACCCTGTCTCCATCACCCCCTGCCACCCACATACATGCTTCTCCATAGGGGGTCCTGACCTGGCATTGGGTGAGGGGCAACTCAGGGAGGTCATGGACTAGCATCAGTCCACCCCACCTCTGGCTTCTCCAAGAAACTTGGCCAAAGCCCTCCCATCTCTGGGCCTCAGTCTCCTCCTTCCATAGCTGGGGAGCAGCCAGCCGGCTTGGGTTCAGGCAGGCTCCACACTGGTGAGGTGTGCCTGTGCAGGGGCTGTCATGGGCCCTCAGGAGGGTGGAGCCCCTCTGCCTCCAGTTCCCTGGGGAGATGTTTCAGCCTGCAGACTGGGCTGAGGGCCAATGTCTGGCTGAAGATTGAGCTGGACAGCCCCTCAACTAGCATGTGGTCACCAGCTGTGATCAGGAGGCCCAACAACTCCTCAGTCTGCCAGCTCGCCCTGGGGGTCTCAGCTCAGCCATTCCCCCCAGCTAGGGCTGCAGGGAGGCCTGGGTATATTGGAAGCGGATGTGCTGGGCAGCTCACTCCACACTGAAGAAAAACGGCCTGTTGCTGGGGCTGGGAGCCTAAGAGCTACTGTTAACTTGTATGGCCTCAAGCAGCTCTTCTCCCTCTTTGGGCCTCATTTCCCCGGTCAGGGAAGGGAGTGAGGATCTCCTGTGAAGGCCCCTGCTTGCTGGCCGCAACTTGGAAACGGACCCCAAGTGTACCCTTGATACCGACTGACCGATGGGTCCAGCCACAGGCATCTTGTGCCATCTAATGGATACAGAGGGAACTGCAGGAAGTTCCACTGCGTCAGGCCCTGGGCAGGGCAGTGGGGCCACCCCGAGAAACCAAAGCCTCTTGGGGCAGCAGGCAGTAACCAGACGACCGTACTACGAAAAGGCAGGAGCAGCAGGAGACTCCAGTGATTGCTTCCGATCAAGAAATCAAGGGAGACTTCATGGAGGAAGCCCTATCTAGGCAAAGGATGACACAGCCCAGAAAAAATGGAGGGGACCGAACACAGCAGAACAAAGCAGATGATGCACACGGGGGATCTTAATGCTGGGTGTGGTGGGAGCTTGTAGGCTCTTGTGGTGTTCGTGCTTGTTGGATGTCTCTAGTTCTTCCCCAACCAACCTCATTCTGGAAAAGAGACACTGGGACCATCACACAGACTCCCCTCCCTATGGACACCACCCACCCCACCCCACCCCCGCCCAGCCTCCCCATGTAACCTCTTGATAGTGGCCCAGCCATTCTCCTTTTTGGTTCATGGAAAGCTTAACTCTCGGAGTTTCTCTCTTCTCCTTTCCTGATCCCAACAGCAGCCCACGTCCTCCAGGTGCCGGGACCCTAAGTCCTCCTCACCAACAACCACCTTCTCCTGCCCAGGCCTCAGCCACTGTCCTCATCCTCCAGCTCACCACTGATAAGGATGTGACCTCCGGCATCTCCACTCAGAATCTCTTCCCGTGGACGCCACAGTTCTTCTCTCGTGTGTTCAGCCTGATTCCCCTTGCCCAGCTTGGATCCAGGCATTAAAACATTCCCCAGAGACCTATAGCCTCTCACCTTCTGCAGCCTCACCCCTGCATCACGCATTACCCTTTGCCAGCCTCAGTCGGGGTCCCTTCCTCCCGCCCCACGCATTCCCTACCCCACCTTTAAATGAGCTTCCCTGTTTTCCATGTCTCCCCGCAGCTCTGGCGCATTTCCTGTAAAGCTGCACCAGTGTTGTCCATGCCCGCCAGCTCCCTTTATCTCACCTGGCTCCTTTGGTCCTCTCCAGTCGGGCTCCAAGGAAACCCTCATGGCCACATGGGCAAGACTTCGGGGGCCTCCAGGAACCTAACCCCAGGGCCACCAGCTGATTTCAATGTCCCCACCCTTCCTTCCTGGGTCCCAGGACTCCTCATTCAGCCGGGGTCTCTCCCATCCCCCTGGCCACACCTCCTCTCCTGGACTACCCACATGGGATGGCCGGTGTCCACCTGTCTATACTCCGTCTCCCCAGGGGCCTCACCGCGACCGACCGGGGCTGAGAAAGCCCTTCTTACTCAGGACACGTGACTTTACAGAGCACTCTCTGCCCCCTCAGCTCCAGCTCCAGCCCTGCCTGGACATCCTCACCACCCTGTCCCAGAGGCATCGCAACTTGGACACGTACAGAAGATTCACTCTCTCTTCTGTGACTGTCCCACCTGAAACGCACTTCATCCAGGATCCCAGACCACTCCTGCCTCGTGGCCACTGCGTCTCCATAATCCCCATTCCAGCACCACACTGGTTCCCTCACTGCATTCATCACCCTCTTGTCTTCCTGAGCGATGGTCAATTTCATGAAATTAGGGACAGAGCCTCCCTCTGAACGGTTGCAGCATCGGGCCCATGCCAGGCACAGGGTAGGGATGTGACTAGGGCAGGTGGGCCCACGGTGGCTCTGCTTCCTCTCCCAGGATGTCGTCGCTCTGCGGTGTAACGCACAGATCCTTGAGTTCTCCAGCTCCCGAGGTCAGGCCTGAAGGGACCCCATCGCTCTCCCGCAGCCGGAGAGCTCCCGCAGCTCTGGCCTCCGCTGGAGGCATCTCCAGAATTCCAAGACTGTCTCCGGAATGCTGAGCCTGTCTGGAGAATGCCAAGGCCAGGGCACAGGTGGAGAGGCCTCGGAGTGGCTGGGTGGAGCAAGGACAGCTGCTGGCATTCTGGCTGGAGCCTGCACACCATGGCCAGCTGTCGCTTCTGTGAGCACCACTGCTGACACCGCCATGTCCTTGCTGCCACCCTCTCCAAGGCCAGCGCCACTGCTCTGACCCCCACTAAGTTGAGAGCCACCAAGCCTTACATTTCCATTCCATCAGGAAGGGACAGTGGGCTGCTGGAGCCTCCAAGGTTCAAGGGAACTGGAAATTACGCCGGTGTGGACCTGGTGTATCAGACAGAGCCCCGGGCTGGGACCCACAGGTCTTTGTTGGTCACCAGACTCACTGATGACTTTGACAGGTCCCTGCACCTCTCTGGGCCCCTCACTGGGCAAATGGGTGAACGGAGGAAAAGCAGATGGTGTGCCCCTCAGTCCCAGGCAGTCAGTGCCACTAGTGTGAAATGCAAGTGCCACAGCCCACTGAGCCCCCATAGCACCCCGCTTCTCTGCAACCGGAGCTGAGAAGGAGCTGGGCTGCCATGCCAAGTGGCCTCCAGGGCCTAGCAGGGTGCTCTGCTCTCTCCAAGCACAGGACCTCTCAGCTGCCAACTGGCGACCAAAGCCATAGCCCCCAGGAGCCTGTTCACTGTGGATTCCTGGGCCACCACCAAGTCCAAATGCTGAAACTCTGGAGATGAGGCCTGGGAATCAGCAGTCCTAGAAAGGAGCCACTGAGCCATGGAACACGGTCATCTCCAACCCGACCTAAGCCCGCTGGTAGAAGATGGTGTAGGGGGACAGGTGGAGTGCAAGCAGGAAATGGACATCAGAGCACCCACAGCCCCCTGGGGTATGAAAGCCAGACGGCACGTATCCAGGGAACAGAGCTTTAATCGCATTCCCTATTACAGGGCTGCGGGAGGCAGTCAGGGAGGGCCCACCCCCTCCTTGGGAGGGTCGACAACACACCCAAGCTCACATCCTGGGGACCCCAGCCCCTTGCCCCCACCCCAGGGCCCGGCTGGAGTTGGAAGGTGGCACCGGCAGCTCCAGGCGAGGGCTGGTGTCTACTCCACCCCTTTCATGAACTCCAGGAACTCTGTGAAGAGAGGAGCAGGCCCAGGTCAGAGAAGGGGTCTGGCCAGGTGTGGGTAGCAGGGGCCCAGCACAGCAGCGCCCCCTCACCGTCATAGTCAATGCGACCATCATTGTTCTTGTCACCATCCTTCATGAGCTCCTCGATGTCATCTTCCGTGATGGTCTCGCCCGTAGCCTGAAGCATCACCTTCAGCTCGTCCAGGTCTATGTAGCCATCAGCATTTCTGGGTGGTGGGGGGGCAAGTGGAAAGGGGTGGGAGGGAGGGAGGAAGCGGACCTCAGAGCTCCTGGTGCAGGCTAGAGGAAGGGAAGAGGCAGCCCCAACCATGACCCCAGGAGGCAAGGCTGGGCTGCTGGGAAGAGGGACATCCCATTCTCCCACTGCCCAGAATGGGAGACTGAGGCCTTGAGGTCACAAGACTGTCCCCTTTCCCTGCCTCGGCTAGGGTCAGGGTCAGAGGTCCAGGGACACGCACTCACTTGTCAAACATGCGGAAGAGGTCCGACAGCTCCTCCTCAGACTTTCCCTTGCTGTCGTCCTTCATGCACCGGACCATCATGACTAGGAACTCATCGAAGTCCACTGTGCCGCTGCCTGCGAGGGGCGCGGCATGGCCGTCAGTGAGGGATGGCTAGAATGCTCTCAAAGCTGACCCCTGGTGTTGTCCCTGCCCACACCCTTATAGCAACACTATGAGATGAGTGCGGTTGTCATGCCCATTTCAAAGATGACATGACTGAGGCTCAGAGAGGCTAACGAGTTCCTTCAAGGGCACCGAGAAATGAGTGGCAGAGCCAGGACTCGGGTCCCAAGCAAACTAAGGCAGAGGCGGGTCTGGGGCCGCGGGGGCGGTGGGGGGGCAGGTAGGAGGGCTCACCGTCCTCATCCACCTCGTCAATCATCTCCTGCAGCTCCTCAGGTGTGGGGTTCTGGCCCAGCATCCTCATCACCTTGCCCAGCTCCTTGGTGCTAATGCAGCCATCTTCGGCGCCCAGCACGAAGATGTCAAAGGCTGCCTTGAATTCTGTGTCCAAAGGCAGGGGGAGAGGGAGGGGAGATGGTTGGGGGAGTTACAGGGTGTCCAGGGCTCAGAAGCCTGGACCCCAGAAGGCCAGACCTCTGGGGCTACCTGCCAATTGCCCATTTCCCTCCAAGACCTCTGAGGTCATAGTAAGAGGGACCCCAGCCTCTGGGGTCCTTATGCTCTCCCAGCCTGGCACCACTGTACCCCCACATGTGTTGGAGCACTCACCATTTTTCTGCTCTTCTGTCAGCTGTTCTACCTAGAGAGGAAAGGAGGTCTCAGGACTCAGATTCAGGACTTAGCTGCTGTTAAGGAAATCAACCCATTCCACAGATGGGGAAACTGAAGGCAGGAAGAGGCAGGGCATTCCCAGGTCACAGTCCTCACTCCTCCCTCCCTACCCGCCAAAGCCCTGAGGTGACCCAGCTGGCCTCACTGAGGCCGGGCTTAGGGCCAGGGTGACAGGTGGGTGCCCCCTCCAGGGCCAAGGTGACCCTGAGTAACAATAGTCAGTGACCACTCAAGTGCCCTTTTGGCCCCCCTGCTGAAATCCAAGCTGGGTGGCCTGAGGGACAGCTGTCCCTCATGTTGGGACAATAAAACCAGTGTGAGGATAGGCAAAGCCATCCACTGTAACCTGACCGGGATGGCCACTGGGCTATTTTTAACGGGGAACAAAGTTAAACCTGGTGATTGTTCTGGGGACTCTGGCATGCAGGGGGTGGGGCAGCGTTATCTGGCCCCCTGGCCTGCTGGTGCCTCAGGAGCCAAAATTAGTCCCCAGCCCCACCAGGCCTTGTATGGGCACAGGGTGGAGGGCTTCCCTCCCCCAGCTCCATGGACTCCTGCAGGATAGGCAGGGACAGCCCCAGAGCCAGCTGTAACTCTTCCTGCCTGGGAGTGGAACTGCACTCCCAGGGCTGAGGGAGGGGTTCCCTTGGGGACAGTTGTCTAGGCCGAATGTCCTTGGCTCTGGGGCAGGGGCAGGTCAGCAACACCCCCTACTCCTGGGAGGGACTAGTATCTGAAGCCCCTCAGTGACCCTAGGATGCTGCAGGGACTTGGGGTGACTACTCTCCAGCACTCACCCCTGGCTAAACCACTGAGCCCCAAGCCTGCTACGCCTGATGGCGGCTGCAGCCCCGGTTCTCTATTCCTTTTCCGCTGACTCTCCCCCATGCCCAGGGCTTCCCTGCCTACCTCAAACTTCTAAGCCCCTTCTCCAGCTCAGGATTCTGGCTCTCCAGCCCCCTCCTCAAGCTCCTGTCCCACCCTCCACAGCATCTGCAGCCTTCCGAAGAACTGGAGGTAGGTGGGGGATTATAAGTGTGAGAAGCAGAGTGTGAGGGGCAGGACTGGGGAGGGGGGACCGGGAGACAGCAGCAGATTAAGGGGGCAGCTGGGAGGAACAAAGAGATGGAAAGAGTGTGAGAAAGGCAAAGATCCAGAGACCATAGACACGAGTGAAGGGAGGTGTGACTAGAAGACAGTGACACAGACTACAGACACTTGGAGACAGGAGCAGACATGATGCTAAAAGCGGGGACTTCCTCCACCCACCTAAAAGCTCCTCTCCAGACCCTGAACCCCTGACTCCTTCCACACCCTGGAACTGGAATGCCCGATCCACCATCCCCTTGAAGGCCTGGGCTGAAAGTTGCATGGGCCCTCTCCTGGGTCCCCCACCACCTTCGTGGGATGACCTCGCCCCCCAACGTGAGTTGAGTGAGCCCCCAGTGGGCCCACCCACCCCAGCCCTGCCCAGCCCAGTCCCTCACCGCAGCCTTGTAGATGTCATCCATGCTGGCGGCTCACAGGGCAGGCTGCTGGGGTTGCCAGCCAGTCCTGGGCTTAAATAGCCCTGCCCCACCGCATTCCGGGCCAGCCCAGCCCACCACTGCGAGCAGTATCCTCCACCCCCTCCCCCAGCCCTGGTGATCTCAGGCTGGCCTGAGTCCCTGTGTCCTCTGCCCAGTGCAGGGAGCAGATGAAAGGCTGCAAGGACCACATCTTTTCCCCTCTGTCCTCCATGGCTCCCAGGGGACTCTCTGGAAAGGTTTCTTGAATGAATGAAAACTCGAGCCAAGGAAAGGACAGGTGCTGCAAAGTAGTGGGCCCCAGGCCAGGCCCTTAGACACACAGCAGCTCAGCTCCAATCAAGGAAGTGGGCAATATTATTTTCACTTTTCAGATGGGGAAACTGAGGCTCCTAGAGGGCTAGTGACTTGCTCAGGGTATGGCTGACTTGGCAGCCCCCGCCTTAAGCTAAACCTGTTGGGGAGGGGGGTAATGCTGGCCAGCAGTATGCAAGGAGAGGACCTGCCAGGAGAAGCCTCAAATGCCAAGCTCAGAGTATGTTGCTCTGTAACCATTGGAGAAAGAAGTCATTGACCCACCTTAGCACAGAGCTATCTGTAACCCTTCAGCCAGGGGTGTTAGAGCATCCATGCCCAAGACCTCTCATCTCCCCAGGGAGAGCAGTACTAGCTCTGAGTTTGGGTAAGTTGCATTTAGTCAATGAACACACCTACAGATGCCCCATCTGTGCTAGGCTCTTCCCCTCCAGCTCTGTTACTATCTCCCTCTTCGGGTTCCGGTCTTCCCCTGGCTTAGGGCTCCATCTCTGTGTCTGCCCTTCCCTATTCCAGCACTGTGGCTTCTGGGCCCAGGGCCAGCCTGTCCCCACCACCTTCTGAGCTCGGGCAGGACAGCATCTGGGGGTCTTGCACTCAACGGCCAGCACATACCGCTTCCTTCTACCCAAAGGCAGAGCCCTCTCTCTCGATAACCACAACAGCTCCCTGCCCTGAGCGCTGCGCCTTGCACGGATTAACCCCACATAATAGAGGAGGTCTCCAAGTCTCGGAGTGGTTAGGAACTGGCGCAGAGTTACTCTGTCCAGCTTGAGCTCTTAAGCACAGCTCATTTCATCTCGTTCAATCCTCTCGTGCCCTACAGGGAGAAAGCTGGAGAGCCAGGCCGGCGCGATTACTGCCCCTTTCTGGAGGGGAAACAGGCCGGATGGAGCAGTGACTTGCTTCGGGTAGCCCGGAAGGTGCGAGTTCTTCCGTCCTCCCTTCCCGGGCATCGAGTAACAATGCCCAGAGCTTCCCCGGCCCGGTGCCTCAGTTTCTCCGGGGCTGCGGAGAACGCCACAAGCTTCGCTCACAAATTACACAAGCACACAGGCCTCTGCGACCTGCGCACGCGCGCTGTCGGCGGCTGCTGCCAATTACGCGCGAGGGGCGGGGCGAGGGCGAGAGAGGCGGCGGGGCCAAGATGGCTGAGCGGCGCGCGGAGTGGGCGGGGGGGCGGTGGGGGCTAGGGGGCGGTGGGACGCTGACCCCGCCCCCTACTGCTGCCAGTCTGCGCCCGGCGGTGGCGGCTGCAGCAGCGGAGCCCGAAACATGGCGGCGGTGGCTCGCAGCTTCGGGCCGGAGCGAGAGGCCGAGCCGGTCAAGGAGGCGCGCGTTGTGGGCTCTGAGCTCGTGGACACGTATACGGTGTGCAGGGGGCGCGGGCGCCAGAACTGGGGGTGGCTGGAACCCTGAGTCCCAAGTCGGGGGGTACTGGGGGGATCCGGGCCCCGCCATCGCGGAGGAGGGGGTAGCGGGGGCCTCGATTTCGAGGAGGGTAATCTGGGGAACGGGTATGGGTTTCGCAGGTCCAGGAACAGGGGTCGGGGGTAGGTCCCAGGGAGGGAGCTTGGGGAAGGGGTGCGCTTTCAGAAATGAAGGCTAGCGTTGGGGAAGATCTGGGGATAAAGGGGGTCTGCAGAAGACGGGAGTCTAGATGAGGCGGAGGCCCTTCTAGATTCTCTAGGCCTGGAGGGGCGCCGGCCCGGGAGTACGTGACAGGGGGTCCGGGAGGGGGAGGGGTCTCTGATGGATGGTCGGGGAAAGGTTCGAGGCCCTGCAGGCCATGAAGAAGACGGAGCGGGGCCTTGATCTGGGGGATGGAGGCTGGGGTCGCAGTTGAGATTTGCTTTAAAAATGAGGGGCGATCTGGAGGCCCAAGGCTTTGGGAGTCAGGCAGAGACAGAATGGGGGAGGAATGGAGCCGTGACATGGGGAAACTGAGGTAGTCGCTCTAGGCTGAAAGTGTAAGACCCAGGAACCTCAGGGGTCTTCAGGGCTTTGGGCGGAGGGAGCCTGTTGGGGCAACAAGCCGCCCACACACTTCAAGGCTGTGGGGGAGGTGGAGAACAGAAAAGGGAGGTGGAGTTCCAGACTGTGATGGAGTTGGGAGGCTTTTCTGGATCTCGATGGAGTTGGTCGCCAGGCTTTTGGGTCTGGCAGGGACTAGCCTTGGGGTGGGGGCGTATTGAGCATCTCCCAGCCTCCTGTTCTTTGTTCCCTGAGGGTGGGGAGTGGGGGGGTGTGCTTTGGCCCTGCCTTCACCCCACCCCTTTGGCCCTCATCCTAACCCTCCTCCTGAGGGTCATTTCTCTGGCTCTTTTTCCTTTCCTGGGCGGCAGGAGGGGGGAGGGAAGCTGCCAGGCTGGGAAGGGGCTGGGGGCGGATCCTGGAGCAACAGGCCGGCGCTGGAGAAATGGCTGCGCTTCCTTGGAGGTTTCAGCTGATTTGATGATTTCTCCTCCCCCTTCCCTGCATGCTGCGGAGAGGGGCGGGACACTGGGACGGGATGGCGGGGGCTACCAGGTGAACCTTGAGGTTTCTGAGCTGATGGCTGGCAGGCCATCGCCCAAGAGCAGCATTCAGTGAGGACGTCATCTCTAAAAAGCTCTCCCTAGGGGCACCTGGGTGGCTCAGTGGGTTAAAGCCTCTGCCTTCGACTCAGGTCATGGTCCCCGGGTCTTGGGATCGAGCCCCGCATCGGGCTCTCTGCTCAGCAGGGGGCCTGCTTCCCTTCCTCTCTGTCTGCCTCTCTGCCTACCTGTGATCTCTGTCTGTCAAATAAATAAAATATTAAAAAAAAAAAAAAAACAACTCTATTTCGGAGGGCTGAGCCCCCCCTGCATGGGTATGGGGGACATGGTGATCCAGGTTGACCTGACGGTTTGTCTCCAAGTGTGCTGATTATTATTATATTATTAAGACACCTTTTGTTGAACTCTTGCTGCATGTCAGACCTTGTACAAGGCGTTTTGCCTGAATTACTTTATTCAGTTACTAATTCTATCAGATTTTTAAGATGTAGAAACTGAGGCTCAGAGAGAATTTAGGCTCCCAGTCACTTACATAAGCCAGCCAAGAAATGGCAGAATCAAATTTTAAACTCCCGTCTTCCTTGACTCCAAGGCCCATTCCCTTAACCCTGCTAAGCATTCTCCTGGTCTTGATGGTTCATCACTGCCCTTCCCCCCAAACTCTCGTCAGCTTCTTAGCGCTCTGACGCCTGGCTCAGCAGCAGAAATCCTAGCCAGGAACCAGCTGAAAGCGTTGCGAAGGGACTTGCTTCTAGGATATAGTCAGGGCACCTAGAGAGATAATAACAGCAGAAAAGCTAGTCCTGCCAGACCCCACCCTGTTCTGCCGCTCTTGGAGTGGGTGGCCTGGCCTGCAGCTCAGGCTGGAGGCTGGAAGTAAAAAACTAAAGAGATAGCTTGATAAGATGGTCACCTTTTTTGTTCCTCACTGTTGAATAGACCCCCGGATTGCTCCCAGCTGCCTGACAGCTGGTGCTAGGATCATGGCGGAAGCTGTGAGGGGTCCTGCTGTTGAGCAAGGGTCAGCTGCAGAGGCTAGCTGGCGAGGGCAGCCTGACTTAGGCCTGGGGGTTCCGGGTGGTCTGCTGCAATTGCCGAGGGGAGGACGGGGGTTTTCCTTGTGTCTGGCTGGGCGAGGACTTGTCGGTTTCCCCTTGTAGGTTTATATCATCCAGGTCACTGACGGCAGCCACGAATGGACAGTCAAGCACCGCTACAGCGATTTCTACGATCTACACGAAAAGGTAACTCTTGAGAACTAGGAGTCTGTGTCTCAGGCCTTGGGGGGCTTTTAGGCCACATTTCCATTTTGGCACACGTTAAATTGAGGGCCGAACCGGCTCCATGTCTGTAAGGGTCAGTTTCCCAGGTCGGGAGCGATTTAAACTTGCTCCACCTGACTACAGCTACTTCAGAGCCCCTACTTTAATATCTGGCCGTGATTCCATTTCTTTCCTTGGTTTTGGAGAGAACCGCCTTTCTCCGGGTCGTTTGCAGCATGAGTGCTTTAAAAACAGGTCACTGCCCTGATGGGCGTTCATTCTGGTTTGGAAAAGATGGGGGTTTTGAGGAGCCTTGAGGTATTTTCTTTCTCTGCAGGCTCCAGGTGGAGCTCCTCATCTGCATTTGTCCTGGTATGTCTAATACTAATTGAATCTGATGAGGCCAAATTCCAGATGTCCAGGTTGAATCACTGATTCTGATACTACTGCCAGAAGGGGCTGTGGGAGTTGTGTCGAGCACCTGTCATCAGGCAGCTTGTCTCGGATCCTGCACTGTCGCACACCCTCTGGGGCTGTGGTTGACCATGCTTCTCTTTTCTTACAGCTGGTTGCAGAAAAGAAAATTGATAAAAATCTGCTTCCGCCTAAAAAGATCATTGGGAAAAACTCGAGAAGCTTGGTGGAAAAGAGGGAGAAGGATCTGGAGGTCTACCTGCAGACACTCCTGGCCGCCTTCCCTGGCGTGGCCCCCAGCGTGCTGGCCCACTTCTTACATTTTCATCTCTACGTAAGTTCCTCTCTGGGTCTCTCCTGCTAGCCCACAACCACCAGGCTCGAGGCAGCAAACCAGCATGAGCCTCAGCTTTCAGGGGAGGCAGGCTGGAGTTGGACCCCGAGGTTAGAAGATGGGGAACATCACTCTGGTGGCATGTGGGCAGAAGCACTTTTATTGACAGATTTGCTTTGTATTAGACCATGGCCACAGAGAGGTTTTCCTTTACCACATGGCAGCCTGTGGGTATTTAAGCTAGTTTACCAAATGGACAGGGGTAGAGTAGAAACAGCTGTCAGAGCTGGTGTAGAGGAGGACAGTTTCATTGTTGGTTCACAGTGAGACCAAGGAATGAGCCTGTGTTGGCAAAATACGGCCATCGGAGGTCATCTTCAGAGCTGCTGAGGGTGGGTAGATAGACTCCACTGGGAGTGTGTTCCAGAGCGGCTCCAGATGGCTGGACAACTTTCATGGGCTGCTGGTAGCAGGATGAGTTGTCACAATTCATGGAGGGAAGTTCGACCGTGTGAAACCCAAACGTTGAAAACCGCTAACAGTTCGACTTCTGAGAAATTATTCTGGAGGGAAAGCAATCAGGCAAGTGTGAATAGGACATAGGTATGTTCCAGGATAGGAGCGGAATACCGAAGACAATCAGAAGTCCAATAGGAGAGGCACCTGGGTGGTGCATTTGGTTGGGCGACCCACTCTTAGTTTCAGCTCAGGTTAGTGAGCTTGTGGGATCGAGCCCCTCATTGGGCTCTGCACTCAGTGGGGAGTCTGCTTGGGATTCTCTCTCCCTCTCCCCCTTTGCTCCTCCCACCTCTCAGGCCCGTGCTTTCTCTCTCTCTCTCTCTCTCTCTCTGTCTCTCTTCCTCTCATATAAAAATGTTTTTAAAAAGTCCAGTAGGAGGCGTTTTTCAAAAAAATCAAGGGGTACCACCCTGTAACCAGATATTCTGCTAGAAAATGATGGTGCAGGGCCATCTGGGTGGCTCAGTGGGTTAAAGCCTCTGCCTTCGGTTCAGGTCATGGTCCCAGGGTCCTGGGATCAAGCCCCACATCAGGCTCTCTACTCAGCAGAGAGCCTGCTCCCCCCGCCCCACCCCCGCCTGCCTCTCTGCCTACTTGTGATCTCTGTCAAATAAATAAATAAAATCTTTAAAAAAAAAGAAAAAGAAAGAAAATGATGGTGCAGCTGTGGATTTGTTGACACAGGAAAATAAGTATGTTACTACAGGAAATAAGGGTGCCATAAAATGGATATGTAGGATACAGTCCTCTTTATTTGAAAAGAAATTAACATGAGTATATTTGCCTAGGAAAATTCTGAAAGATCATACATCACAGGACTAGGAGTATTAATCTCTGGGTGATAGATTTTTGGATAATTGACATGTTTTCTTTTTATGTGGTGAAGATACGAAGGAATCCACTCCATTTTTCAGGCTCACCTTTCAGGAAGGGACCTGTGGGTTGTGGTCTTAAAGGCTTAGATGCGTTTACGACACAACTTCCTTGAAATGCTTTAAGAGAAGACAGATGAACCTTTTTTGGAGTGCTAGACAGAGCCAGGAAATTTGGTGACGATGCTAGTGTTGGGTCACTAAGCTTGGAGGGGCTGTGGAAAATGGGTGGCATTTACAGATGGGCTGTATCTATATATATGTGCTTTGGATTTTATTCAGCGCGTACCAACAACTGTGTCGATGGCAGTTTCCTGTTGTAGACTTTTTTTTTTTTTTTTTCACATTTACTTTCCTTATGTGAGGAAAAATTTCCATTCCTTACGAGAGCATTTCAGATGCTTTACCGGTTAGTATTTTAGGAAATGCTGTTCTTTACGGAAGCTTTGGTTAGCCATTTAAGGATAAAACTTGATAAGCAGACCTTTGAAAGTGCACTTCGTGGCTAAAGACCTGGGTCTTTGAGGAGCGTGTTTGCCCTGCCCCCAGCACAGAAAGGCCTGGACTGCTCATTGGAGAGCCGTTTGCCTGAGGTGGGCCTGCATCGGCCGGCCCACATGTCTGAGGTTCTGTGTGGAGGCATATTTTACTGCTTGGAACGGTTTGGACATATTGAAATTACTGTTATCAGAAGGGCCCCTGGGTTATATAAATCCAAGGATTTTTGAGAACTACCTGACCCATCATGAAATTAAATCACAGTTTCTCAGCTGCAGCACAGTTGACTGTTAGGGGTGGATAATTGTCGCGAGGACTGTCCCATGCGTTGTTGAGCAGCATCTCTGGCCTCTTAGGTGCTGATAGCCACCCCAGGTTGTGACAGCCAGAATGGCCACACACATTGCCAAATATCCCCCTCGAGGGGCAAAATCTCACCTGAGAACCACTAGACCTTTAAATGAGTTTGAACCACTGGGGCCTGAAAGATTTGTCAGCCTTTTCTGTAGGCTGGGGGTTCTTAGGGAGTATTTCTGCCAGCCTTTGTCCCATCGGTGTCCTCTCTCAAATTATTCTTAACATGTTCCACTTCTTATGGGGCTGACAGGGTGGACGCAGGGAACCCTGGTTGTCAGGAGTGTGGGTTTTTTCTTTATTAAAATATAGTTTACATATCATAAAATTCACTTTTTTTTTTTAAAGTAGGTTGCCTTTTTTTCTTTAAAATATTTTACTTATTTGTCAGAGAGAGAGAGAGAGAGAAAGAGCACAAGCAGGGGGAACAGCAGCAGGAGAGGGAGAAGCAGGCTCTCTGATGAACAGAGAGCCCAACCTGGAGCTCAGTCCCAGGACTCCAGGATCATGACCTGAGCCAAAGGCAGATGCTTAACTGACTAAACCACCCAGGAGTCCCAGAATTCACTCTTATACAATATCCAATTCCTGGGGCACCTGGGTTGTTCAGTTGGTTAAGCAACTCTTGATTTCATGATCCTAGGGTCCTGAGATCCAACTCAGTGGGGACTCTGCTTCTCTCTCTCTGCCTCTCCCGCTGCCCCTCCCCCTGTTTGCACGTACACTCTCTCTTGCAAATAAATAGATCTCAAAAAAGAAAACAAAAAAAACCCCAAACATTTAAAGTACACAATTCCCTGCTTTTAGTGTATTCACAGAGTTGTGCAGCTATTACGACTAACTCCAGAACATTCAGCACTCTGAAGAGGAACGTTGTACCCATCAGCAATCACTAATGTACATTCTGTCCCCACAGATTTGCCTGTTCTGGACATTTCATAAAAATGGAAACATACAAATGTGGCCTTTGTGATGGGCTGCTTTCACTTAGCATGATGCTTTCAAGGTCCATTTGTACTTTGGTCCTTTTTGCCTGAGTCATATTCCGCCAATTACGACATTATCCATCAGTTGATGGATGTTTGGGCGGTTTCCACTTTTTGGCTAGTACAGATAATGCTGCTGTGGACATTCTTACGTAAGGTTTTGTGTGGACATAGGTTTTCCTTTCCGTTGGGTATGCCTAAGGAGTGGCATTGCTGGGTCATATGGTAACTTTAGCTTTTTGAAGAACTGCCAAATTTTTTTCCATAGTGGCAGCACCGTTTTACATTCCCATCAGCAGTGCGCAGGTTCTCTTCTCCCCACATCCTTGTCAGACATATTACTGCCCACTTTTTGGATAATCATCCTGGTGGGCATGAAGTGGTATCTATCGCGATTCCCATTTCCCTAACGAGGCTGAGCCTCTTCTCATGTGCTTATTTGTCATTTGCGTATCTTCATCGGAGACAGGTACTCAGATGTCCTCGGCACTTTAAAAAATTAGGTTACTTGTGTTTTTGTGGTTGAGTTACAGGTTTGTTTTTTTTTTTAAATTTTTTTATTATTTTATTTTTTTAAAGATTTTATTCATTTAACAGAGAGGGAGAGGTAGTGAGAGATGGAACACAAGCAAGGGGAGTGAGAGAGAGAGAAGTAGGCTTCCTGCCGAGCAGGGAACCCGATGTGGGGCTCAGTCCCAGCAACCCAGGGTCATGACCCAGCCAAAGGCAGATGCCTAACGACTGGGCCACCCAAGTGCCCCGAGTTACAGTTTTTTTTTTTTTTTTAAAATATATATTTTATTTATTTATTTGACAGAGATCACAGGTAGGCAGAGAGGCAGGCAGAGAGAGAGGGAACAGGCTCCCCGCTGAGCAGAGAGCCTGATGCGGGGCTCGATCCCAGGACCCTGGGACCATGACCTGAGCTGAAGGCAGAGGCATAACCTGCTGAGCCACCCAGGCACTCTAGTTGTTTGTTTTTTAATATATTCTGGATATTAGGCTGTTACCAGAAATGTGATATGCAAATGCTTTCTTCCATTGTGTGAATTATCTTTTTAGTTTCTTGATAGTGTCCTTTGAAATTCAAAAGTTTGAGATTTTGATGAACTTGGGTTCATCCATTTTTTTTTTTCCCTTTGGTCACTTGTGTTTTGGACGTTCTTAGAAACCACTGTCTAGTCCAAGGTTACAGAAATCCACAACCTGGTTTTCTTCTAGCTTTATAGCTTTAGTGCTTATATTTAGGTCTTTCATCCATGTTGAGTGAGTTTTTATTTATGGTGTGAGGTAAGGGGGTTCCAACTTCATTTTTTTGCGGTGTGGGTTTTGATGGTAAGGAAAGAAAGCAGCCCTTCTCTCCGATGCCAGCTCTGAGATGCGGCATGTAGGGGCCAGGACAGCCCTGTGTTGCTATGAGGGGGCACACCTCGGCACTGGGGCTGTTGCTGGGCTCTCTGTCTCTAGACAGCTGTGACTCAGCACTGCTGGAGGACTCTGTGACAGACCTCATCCCAGCACCCCATGAGCAGAGGTTTTCAAATTCAAAGAAATGGATCCCACAAAGGATTTCTAGCATACCATTTTGAGGCAGGATGTCAACCAGTGGCTCAGGAGGCAGGCTGTTTCCTGACCCTTTAAGCTTTTTTTTTTTTTTTTTTTTAAGAGCGTGCACAAGGGGCAGAGGGAGGGGGAGAGAGTGAATCTTAAGCAGGCTCCACGCTCTGCACCGAGCTTGATGTGGCCTCAGTCTCCTGGCCCCACAACCATAATGTGAACGGAAATCAAGAGCTGGCTGCTTAACCGATTGAGTCACCCGGGTGCCCCAAACTGTTACCGTCTTAACCTCAGCCTTACCATCCACCTGTGTTCTTTGTCTGAGCCGCAAAGTACTGAGGCTCTAAGTGCTGACAGATTTGCCTGCAGCTTATGGCCTTGGAACTCTCCAGTGAACTTGAGGCTTGAATCTTTCAATAGGCAATTTTTATTTTTACTTAAAGCCATATTGCACATAACATACCTGAGCCCTCCTAGAATGACTCAACACAGTCAGGAAATAAGAGTTACATGGGGTCCTGCCCTGCCTCTGCCCCTTCGCCTGTGTTTGTGAATCACACAGTGACGTGTGATTGAGTCCCTCGTCTGTGCCCCATTAACCAGGGCTCTGTGCGGGAGTGTGCGCCAGGCAGGAGCGTTGGGCTGGCCTGGGGTCATTCCTGGGCACAGGCACAGGCGTGGCAGGGTGTACTTGTCACAGGCTCTGTGTGTGTGGACACACACAGAGTGGTAGCCGCCGAGCTACACCCTAACCAGTTTGGGGCACGTGTGTGCCGCTCACACTGCCGTCCAAGAGTGCACCGCAGCTCGGGATCCTGGCAGGCGGCTGGCTGACGGGGCCATAGGATATTTGCGGATGCATAGTACTGGTTTTTTAAGTAGCCTAATTAATTAATTCTAAAGATTTTATTTATTTGACAGAGACACAATGAGAGATGGAACACAAGGGGAGTAGGAGAGGGAGAAGCAGGCCCCCCACCGAGCAGGGAGCCTGGTGTGGGGCCCGATCCCAGAACCCTGAGATCATGACTTGAGCCGAAGTCAGACACTTAACAACTGAGTCACCCAGGCGCACCATTGATTTGATTTTAATTGATTTTTTTTTTTGAGGTATAAAGAATGTCTTTTTTAAAAAACACATCTCAATTCAGACATTTGTGGCACCCCGAAGCACTTTAGGTCCCTTCTGCCTAGGTTGGGTGAGGTGTGTGGGAGTCACCTGTCCCCACGGGTGACTTCCTAGCAGAATCTGCAGTGACTTAGACCGGGGCGGGGATAGTGGGGAGTACCGACTCTGCACACCTTTGCTCTGCATGTCAGGCTGGCTTAACCAGAGTTCTGAGGAGGCCAACGAAGTGCTTCTCATAGAAGGCTTGTGCTCTAGAGTCAGGGGCCGCCGCATCCCTGTGTTCTCTCTGATAAAGTCTCCCCAGGTGGAGACGAGCCTGGCGAACAAAGTAGGTAGTGTTGCAAAAGTAGACCGTGTTACAGCAGCGTGTACTTCCTGTGCCCTTAGGAGTGGAGAGGAATCGTCACATAGTTTGCTTTTTAAGATGGCTCAGAAGTTAAAACAAAACAAAACAAAAAAAACCCTGCCTTCTGCTTAGCATAATCCCTTGGTCCTCGCTATCTTGCAGCTTTCTGTGCTCTCCAGAAATACCGGCCTTGTCCCCTTAGGGGATATTGAGCTCAGCTGCCCAAAGAAGTGTAACACTGTTAGGTGCAGATGGAGGGCAGGGAGCCCCTTCTGGAGGGAGACCTTCTGGGAGCCCTAGTGTCACTAGCATGGGCCCGAGAATTGCTGCTCAAGAGCCTGCCTCTTTTAGGGCTGACCTGGTGATGCTTAGGGCAGCGGGCTGCAAAGTGTTGGTTTAGACCCCAGCCACGGCACTTGAAACTGTTGGTAGAGAAACGAGCGTTTGGATCATTCCTGGCTCTTACTAATCTTCAGTTCTTCACTGCACTCAGGGAAACTGTCATTGAGTTTCAGTTGTTGAGCGAGACTGAAGTTGAACTTCAGCCTGAACAGGGAGCTTCTCTCCTCCCCGGCTGGAGCCCTGACGGCCCCTTTGCATCTGACCTTGGATCTTGCCAGACCCTGTGCTCATTAATGCTGGGGCCATGTTTGCTTATTTTTCCCTCCACTGGGCTTTTTGTCCACTGGTGATGTCAAAGTGGGGTTCTTCTCATACTATATGTAAACTGAATTTTGAGCAGTTTAGAGAAATAACCACATTTTTTTTTAAAGATTTTATTTATTTATTCGACAGACAGAGATCACAAGTAGGCAGAGAGGCAGGCAGAGAGAGAAGGAAGCAGGCTCCCCGCTGAGCAGAGAGCCCGATGCGGGGCTCGATCCCAGGTGCCCCAAATAACCACATTTTTAAAAGCTAGCATAAAGTATTAAAAGAAAAAATTTAGGGATGCCTGGGTGGCTCAGTGGGTTTAAGCCTCTGTCTTCAGCTCAGGTCATGATCTCAGGGTCCTGGGATCGAGCCCCGCATTGGGCTCTCTGCTCAGCAGGGAGCCTGCTTCCTCCTCTCTCTCTCTGCCTGCCTCTCTGCCTACTTGTGATCTCTGTCTGTCGAATAAATAAATAAAATCTTAAAAAAAAAAAAAAGAAAAAATTTAGAGGAATATTTTTATAATCTTGGGATGGGGGAAGAGCCCTAAAGTCACCAAGGAAAAGAATCACAGATTAAACAACTTTTATACAGATGAAGCCTTTCTGTGTGTCAGGAAAACCGCCACAAACAAAGGTAAAAAGACTGCAGGAGGGGGAGAAGATATTTGTGGCATATAAACAACCTTCGGCATATCCATCATGTATGAAAGATAAAAGGGAGACAAACAAACCACAAAGGAAAACAGGAAAAGGACACCCTGTCTCCCACAGCCTGGTGCCTGTTGAGTCCTGTCAACATGTGACTTGCACGTCCTCGTGGCAGAGATGTTCCCATGAGTCATGAAGGCAACGCGCGGCCTCCATCTGGGCCTGTTTACCAAGAGTCCTGTTGGCTGCCACTGGGCCATGCGTGAAAATTCTTACCTGCCTGACGTGGGGCTGGGGGCTCTGAGGTCCTGCCCTCCCCAGGATCACACACAGAAGTGCGAAGGCAGTTCCTCATGTACAGAGGGAACCTACAAGGCCAAGTGGCTTTGCGGCGCTCTGGCCTTGTAACATTGGCGAGTACAGCAGCTCCCCACCTCAGTCTGCTCGTCCGGGAAACGGAGTTCAAAATACCATCTTCTCACATGGGGCGTCGGGGCCACGGAGCGTGCCCAGCGCGGTTCAGGTCCCAGGACACCAGCTGTTAATACGGCCTTTCCTGCCTCTTGCTTAGGGCCCTGGGTTTGTTGTTGTAGGGCTTGAAGGATGAGCACAGGAAGAGAGCCTGAGCTCACTCTTTCTTCAGGCCCCTTTGGAACATGAAAGAAAGAAAGAGTCACTCTCAGAAGAAACAGGCCTTTTCTCTGTCACGCTGTCTCCCAGGGTGTTCTGGGGCCAGTCTTGGGAGCTGCCCGCTTCCCGGCTGACGGTCAGGACAGCCAGGCTTTGCCGGCCTCCCAGGCCTCCCGTGTTGGCCAGTACCTGTGTGTGCTGTCGCCGCCGTGATAGTCTGTTTCCCTTCTTCTTTTGAAGCGACATTCCACGTGTCCACAGGACTGGAAATACTGTTTCCCTTCCTAGGCACTTTGATTTATAGTTTACTCTCTCTTTTGTTGTGTGTTGTAAGCTCTGTTTTATAGCTTTCTGGAGAGGTGGCATTGCAGCAACAGAAGAGAGTAGCTAGCAGGGACTGTGTGAGTCCCAGCTACTAGGGACAGGGTCTCTTTCTAACTGTGGGTTGTTTCTCTGCAGGAGATAAATGGCATCACCGCAGCACTGGCTGAGGAGCTCTTTGAAAAAGGTATGTGGCCAGGAGTCCCTGAAACAGTGGGTGCCACTGGTCCAGCCCTGTCAGGCAGCCAGGGACCCGGAGTGGCCCAGAACTGCCAAGTTCTCAGCAGGGCCCACCTCCCCGGGGTTGCTCAAATCCCCAGGCCTGGTCCACAGCAGAGCCTGCCTGCCCGCCTGCCCACCAGCCCCACAGGCAGCCAGGCCTAAGAAACTGTGGTCTTTTACCTCAGGACTCTCGAGTCTCGAGTCAGGGGCTAACCCCAGGCTCAGGATGTAGTCCAAAGCCCTGTGGGGGAGTTCTGGAAGGTGGGTGAGCTGATGCCCTCTTGTACCTGCTCTGTCTTTACCTGAGAGAGTTGAGACATCAGACAGAAGCCAGCCCTAGGTCATGGCCATGCTGCAGAGAGCCTCGTGACAGTAGCTAACAGTGCTTTCTGCCATTCAGCCTCATGTCAGGCATCTCACTGCCTGCCTTCCAGGTGGTGCAGAGAAGGGCACTGAGGACAAAAGGGTACATGGCTGGGAGGGGCAGAGCGAGCACTGGTTGTGAACACTGCCTGCCTGGAGGTTTTACACTGGGCTGGCCCCTCAGGCCTCAGCTGACCTCGGGCTGTGTGCATGTTAGAGGGGGTGGGGTGGGTCTGCTGCCCCTGGGCCGCCTCACATCAGCTTCATCCCAGCGCGCAGATCCTGACATGGCCTCAGCTCAGGGAGGCTCCCCAGTCACACGTTCTCAGGGCCCTTCCCTCCTTTGTGATCTAGGTTTGCTCTGTGCCCAGTGTGCACTCAGGACCATGGCTTCATCCTGAGGGTGCTTGCCTAGTGCTTGCTGACTGTGGGTCAGGTGGGCCGATGCCCTGGCTGCACACTGGGGCTGGGGCCGGTTGCTCACCCTGGGGGGCATGGTTGTTGCAGGTGAACAGCTCCTGGGGGCTGGTGAGGTCTTTGCCATCGGGCCCCTGCAGCTCTATGCGGTCACCGAGCAGCTGCAGCAGGGAAAGCCCACCTGTGCCAGTGGGGACGCCAAGACTGACCTCGGGCACATCCTGGACTTCACCTGTCGCCTTAAGTACCTGAAGGTAAAGCTGTGGCAGCTTGGTCACGGATTACCACTTGGTTGTGGGCACGGACCCCCAGTGGGGCTGTGGAGCTCATTGGCTGTGTGTGTGTGTGTGTGTGTGTGTGTGTGTGTGTGTATGTATAAAGGTGGCTGAATGGGCCCTGGGATGGGGAAGGCCAACTTTGGTGTTCTTGGCACTGCACTTCTGGCTGTGAGCACCAGGGGGCAGTCGTTACCCAGTACCCCCTTTAAACTTTGGCTTCTGCCAGCTTTGTTGACCCGGTAAGTGGTGAGCGGCGGTATGTGCCTCCTGCGCCCCATGTAGCCGGCAGAGCCGCGAGTCAGGTTGCACAGCTGCTGCAGCAGCATCCTTGATTCAAGCCCCGTGTCTGGCCGCAGGTTTCCGGCACAGAAGGACCGTTTGGGACCAGCAACATTCAGGAGCAACTCCTGCCTTTTGATCTGTCAATATTCAAGTCTCTTCACCAGGTGGAGGTAAGGCCCAGGGCCCCTGGAGTCCAGGTGGGGCAGAGCCCACTTGGGGATGGTCTTGCCTCTGATTATTTGCGGCCAGAGAGTGTCTGGGTTTACCTGTTAGGCGCCGTTGCTTTTGCATTTGTCGGTGTGTGATAGACCCTAGCTAGGTAAGTCAGGCCCACCTGAAGGTCTGGAGAGAGGGGGCCTCTCCTGCTCTGGGCTGGTCTGTACGTCCGCTCCGGGCACAGGCAGCACGTGGACAGCATGGAGCACCAGCTCTTGGCTTTCTTCTCATTGCTCAAGTTGAAGGGCTGGGAGGGCATCCTGAGGGTCAGGCAGAGCCAGTTTCCAGTCTGTGTTTCCCAGGACACAACTGCAGAGGGCTTTGAGGGCTCTCTGCCCTTCAGTGTGCCACATCTAACAGGAAATACTTTGTATTACTTCCTACCCTATTCCTGGGTTCAAGGTGTCAGTTTCGTTAATATTCTTTAAAAACAAGGGGACTCGGTAACGGGTATTTTTAAAAAATGCTTTAAAGCATCTGTTTCTAGAGCATGGCTTCTGTGTTCAGCCCTGTGTCCTAATGGACACTTCCTGCTGGAAGCTTCCCAACTGCCCTATGAAGTGGGTATTTTTATTCCCATTTTGCAGTTGAGAAAACTGAGGGTTAGGGAGGTAAGAAGTTTGGCCAGGACCACACCGTCAGTGAGGGGAAGCTGGGATCCGAATTCAGTCAAGTCTAACTCCAGAGCCTCTGCCGCCCGTGGGACTGTTCTGCCTGCACCATTCTGGGCTAGGCCCAGAGACTTTGAGGACCACATCCTTAGACAGGATCCTATGGTGTGTGCCTCCGCCAGAGCTGGCTGAGGAAGGATTGGGAAGTTAGAGGAGTGTCCAACCCAGCCTCGGCTCACAGCCTGAGGAGGCCCCATGGTTGGGGTCTGCCGGTGGGTGGCTTTCATGGGCGTGCGGGGGCATGTAGCCCTGCCTCCTTGCTGCAGGATAGCCAAGGTCGATGAAGCAGGGCTGGGTGAGCAAGAGGGTCTTTTGTGTCCTCACTCTGTGCCCAAGGCCTTTTGCTCTCCAGTTCTGCTTTTCAGAGCCCGCTTTTCCGGTTCACCTGCCAAGCTTCAGTCAGCCCTTATAGCCTTTTCTGAGACACAGCTGTTCTTTGTTCCAGATAAGTCACTGTGGTGCCAGGCGCATCCGGGGACTCGTGGCATCGAAGCCCACCTTAGCCACAATGAGCGTCCGCTTCTCTGCCACCTCTATGAAGGTAAGTGCCACTTGTTTCCTGCCCCAGGCACTGAGGGGCAGGGCCCTGTGCTGCTCGCCAAGGGTGGGTGCGAGCGTCCCTGCTGTCTGCCGGACCCTGGAGGTCGGACCTTCCTCTGGGCAGCCCCACACTCGTGCAGATCCTCCCAGTGCTGGACCGTCCCTGGGACGTGTCGGTCTCTGTCTTCGTCAGAAACCCATACTATTGAACAAGATAGTTGAAGGCACTGGGTCTCCCCACCCCCACCCCCCAAAACGTCCCTGGTTTTGGAGGGGAACAAGTTGCTAAGCAGTGGCAAGTGGCAGAATGTTCATTAGACTGACGTAAGTGTTTCTTTGAGCTTATGAAGTCCTGGCTCAGCACTTGTTTGTGTCTTGCTCTGAGTGCACTTGAAGTAGACAGGCCGGGTTGTAGGAATGCCGTACCCTGTCGTTTCTGTGTGAGCAACAGAAATACTTGAATTGAGAAAGTAAGGCTTTTCTTCTCTATGTACCTTTTTATGGATTCCATCTTAGCAATGCTCAAATCCTTCCACTGGGATAGAACAAACAGGGTAGCTACTTTAATGACTTGTGGTGTCTGATGCAGATACGGGTTTGGTGGGGTCGTGAGGCTGCTGGCTGAGCTAGGAGGCTTATATAAAGAGCGATGGCATTGGGCAACCTGGCCCTTCTCCGAGGGGCTCCCTGCGGCCTTGCTCAAAGAGCCCAAGTTAGTCCATTGAGGGAGGAGAGGTCTTCCAGGCATCAACTGCAGGACAAAGAGGCCCACCTTCCTGCGCTTTGATGGCGTCCCTGTTTCTACCCTGTGTAGTAATGGACGGTAATGGACAGTAATGGCCTACGGTCCTCGGTAGGGACCATGGCGCCAGCTCGGAAAGCCTAGTTGCCTGGAAACGCTGTGATTGCTGGTCTTGAGCTCCTGAGGTTGAAGCCAGAAATAGGATCACCATGGAGAACAAGGCTCTTCTGCGTTCGAAAAGCATTTGCTAATGAGGCAGGGTCAGAACGCATTCCAAGTAGCGATTAGGCTGCCGGGCGCTTCAGGTATTTCACAATCGGGTAAAGCCATATGAGCTAAAGCCCATTTTAATGCAAGTTCACTTCCACATGCTAAATATGCTGAAGCCCTTCCTGAAATTTTGCAACGATTGTGTTGCGTGAGGGCCAAGTGTGGTGCTCAACAGATGTTCTTACACAGGAAGTCCTTGTTCCCGAAGCCTCGGAATTTGACGAGTGGGAGCCAGAAGGCACAGCCCTGGAAGGCCCTGTGACTGCCGTCATCCCCACGTGGCAGGCCTTGACCACTCTAGACCTGAGCCACAACAGCATCTCAGAGATCGACGAGTCTGTGGTATGCTCTCAGCCGTAGGCACCAGGGGCTTCTCTGGCCTCGTCACAGCCGGAGGTCGAGTATGCAACTTGGCATTTTCCAGAAGGACCACGGACAACCTGTGCCCCGTGCTCTGTGCACTGCCTGGAGTTTTTAAGTTAATTTCTGAGTGGGTTCATTGAAATAGATGAGGTAGTGGTTAGGGCCCAATGATGTCTATTGATCAAATGTACATTTGATAGAGAAACATAGTAAGTGCGGATATTCCCAGGGAGTGGAGTGGGAAATTCACTCCATGGATTCCAGACGCGCCCCCATACGAGTGACATCCTGATAGCATTTGGGCAAGAGGAGAATGATTCCTGTATTTGTGCCCTTTGGTGGGGTTGGTAGGGTTGGAGAAGAGGGATGAACTTTCTTCCCCGTCCAGGACCTTGCCACCGTCCTTTTCACAAGCCAGGGGTTCTTAGGAACAGTGGCCCATGTTCAGCCCTGGGGGCCCTGTTTGCCCCTGGGACAGGCAGAGATGTCCAGCTGGGGCGTCTGTGGTCAGGAGGAAGTGTCTCACGTTGTCCCATCTACCAGGTACAGGGGCCACCAAAGTCCCCCTTCCTAGGGTAATCTCAGGCATCTCTCTTCTTTCTATTCTTTGTCAAGAAACTGATCCCAAAGATTGAGTTCCTGGACCTGAGTCACAATGGAGTGCTGGTTGTGGACAACCTGCAGGTAATTCGTGTCTTTAAAGACCACCCTCCATGGGCTGCTTGAGGTCCCGTTCTCCTAAGGGTTCAGGAGGCTGATGCTGCCTTGGGAGCTTGGCCGTCCTCTGGAGTTTTCTCTCATAGGCCCTGAAAGGTGTCTGGGTGCACAGGAGGTCTGTAAAGTCAGGGTCTGCTGGTGTTCCCACGGACTGGGCGATTGTTGCCCTAGGTTCAAAGAGTGTGGGGAAAGACGTGAAAATAGAAATTGAGTGTGATGACCATACGCCTCCATCACGATGACGGACAGCCTGATTTTCACAGCTCGCCCCACTCCTGTGGGCTGTGATGCTTCTGGGGGGCCATGGCGTGTGCCAGGGAGCAGGGGGTGGCACTTGCAGTAGCTACCTGGGGCAAGTGGGCGTTGGAGGTGGGGAGGCCCCCTGCACCATCCGGGGCTGCCCGCCTGCTGTGGAGCCTTGCTTGGCCTGAACCAACTATACCCTGTTCTCGATGCCGCTGCAGCACCTCTACAACCTCGTGCACCTGGACCTGTCCTACAACAAGCTCTCCTCCTTGGAAGGGGTGCACACCAAACTGGGGAACATCAAGACCCTCAACCTGGCGGGCAACCTCCTGGAAAGCCTGAGTGGCTTACACAAGCTCTATTCCCTGGTCAGCCTGGACCTCCGCGACAATAGGATCGAGCAGGTGAGCCTCAGCCCGGAAGGCTCCTGGGGTCCCAGGGTGGCTCTGCCTCAGAGCTTCTCCCCCTGAAGAAGAATCGTAAAGCTGGCCTGCGTCAAAGAGAGGCCATCGGTCGTGTTGGCCTGTTGCCGCAGCATTCGAAGGAGGGGTGAGGGAAGGGGACTCATCTCTTGCAGCTGGAGGAGGTCAGGAGCATCGGCAGCCTCCCGTGTCTGGAGCACGTGGCCCTGCTCAGCAACCCGCTGAGCATCCTCCCTGACTACCGGACCAAGGTGCTGGCCCAGTTCGGAGAGCGGGCCTCCGAGGTAAGCTGCTGGGGTGCGTCTGCTCTGTTGGAGAGACGGTCTGGTTGGAGTCTGGCTTTGCCCCGGCGGTGCCGGAGGGGATGGCCGCTGTTCTGTCCACCTCCCTGCTTCAGAAGGACCGCTGGCCCCAAGGGACCTTTCGGTTCGGGGAAGTCTACACACACACACGCGCACACACGCACACACACACGCACCCGCCCACCCACACACACCCGCCACTAGGAAGAGGCTTCCCTGCTCCTTCTATGGGGGCACCAGCCACCCTGGTTCCTGCTGGCCTCTGTCCTGTTCTCTGTGTCAGAGCCTCAGGCCTGGACGGCTCCCCACCAACCAGCAGGTACAGACCCAGGGTGGAGGGACTGTCTTTAGCTTGTTAGAGTCACGCTTTGTTTTGTAGACTGCAGACCGTGAAGGGTTTGCCCCCTCTGTGCCAGAGTGGTCCGGCCCAGGGTCTGCTGCCTGCTGCGTGTGGGCTGGCCCCCCCGCCGCCATGCCAGTGTCACAGGTCCTCAGCCAGACTCACCCGCCTTCCATTCTCGAGCAGGCCTGTCCCCCGCCTCCCCACATCCCAGGCCAGAAGATACCTGGGCGTCTGTCTGCACCCTTCCCCTGCCATCCTTCTCATCTCTTTTCAGCCCTGAGCACCCCTTTCTTCACACTATCACCAAGACCGTGTTCACAAGATGCCCTCTTCTCCTGCCCTCCCCTCAGGCACCCTCCCCCCGCCCCCATGGCTGCATGGTTTGGTGTCAGCTCTTCCACAGGCCAGTGACCACAGTGCCATCCCTCACTGCTTACTAGTCACGGCCCCCTCCTATATCTGCCTGTTCCTATTCCCCGTGCCTCTGCCCTCCCATTTCCCCAGGCCTCCCCTCGCTCTTACTGATCTGAATTTCGTCCTAACTGTGGGCTTGGTTCAGGTAACTACCTTCTCCACCTCCCAGCCACCTGCAAGGCTGTCCCATTGCCTCCTCTTCTCAGAGAGGGACTCCCGAAATGGCCCGGGCAGTGTGGGAGCTCCCAGGTCACCTCCACGGGGGGTGGAGAGCTCGCCTGCCAGGGGGCAAAGCCTCCCTTGGTCTCCCATGTCCTCTCGGGGCCTGGCCCACACGTCTGCAGCGCCCCTTCCACACTGCTCCTGTCAGGCCCTGCGCTGACGGCCGTTCTCTGAACCCTATAGGTCTGTCTGGACAATACTGCGACCACAGAGAAGGAGCTGGACACTGTGGAAGTGCTAAAAGCAATTCAGAAAGCCAAGGAGGTCAAGTCAAAGCTGAGCAACCCAGAGAAGAAGGTGGGTCTTTGTGTGGGAGGAGATGGGAGTGACAGTGAGGAGAGCCAGCTGAGAGGGGAGCTGGCTCGCCATGGGACTGGGCCGGGAAGCGCTCAGGGTCCCTGTATCCTGGCTGTACCCCTCTGTGTTCGGGCTTCCTGAGCTGGGGCAAGCCACCTCCCCTCTGTTCTCCCCTACGTGAGGCGGGCACAGGGGCAGCACAGGCCTCTCGGGGTTGCTGCAGACTAGGCCTGAACACCTTCACCATCACCACTCTCAAGAGAGCTGGGAGCTCCTTCCTCCCTCCCCGGTGGCTGTGTCGGGATCTGTGCTTCCTGATCTGTCTCTCCTCCCCCTGGGGGCTGACTCGAGCACTCCTCCTCAGGTCATTGAGGATTCCCGGCTCTCCACTGCCCCTTGCATCCGACCCAGTGGCTCCCCTCCCAGCGTGGCTCCTGCCACGGCCTCCCTGCCCCAGCCTATCCTCTCCAACCAAGGTAATTGTGTACATGTCTTGCCAGCTAGCGGAGTGGCGCAGGTTCTGCCTGGGCCTCCTGGCTGGGCAGGGTTCAGACATGGGGTGGGGGGCATGTTGCTGTCTCCAGGCGGCACCTCTTGGGGTAGCTCGGGGAGGCGGGGGTCTGCTGGCTTGATTTCAGCTCTGTTGTTTGCTTACCAAGGGCCCCCAGTTGGTCTGAAACCCACATCCGGTTCCTGTAGGATCCCATGGGTTTGCAATGGGGCCCTGAGGCTGCCGTGTGAACAGGCTTCTCGGGGCTGCTGCTTTTAAGGACCCTGCTCCCCCCAGGCAGCGTGGCCAGCTTGGCTCCTTGCTTGCGGGACGCCAGGCCTGGTGACCTTCCTGAATCAGGCACCCCGGCCCCTGTGTAGAAACTTTCTTTTATAATCATTGCCTCATCTCTATGGCTCTCGCGGTGCAATCCAGCCCCAAAACACCATGTGTGTGGGCCCAAGACGGGCTGTCTGTGGACCCGTGGAAGACCAGTTCCCGTCACCCACCCACTGTTTTAGCGTTTTCAAAGGGCTTTCACCTCTGAACCCAGGCATCCTCGGAGATGAGTGAGTGAAGCAGGTCCCATGAGAGTGTCTGCTGGCCCGGCCCCCACGGAAGAGGGGAGGGTGTGCCGTCCCGAGTGGAGCCAAGGCTCGGGACACACAGGAAAGAACGCCGCCCGCCCGCCCGGGCTCCTGGAGACGCAGAACTTGGTGTGAGGTCTTGGGAAAACAGTTTGACCCTATGTTTCAAGAGCCAGAAAAACGTTCCCACCCCTTGACCTGGTAACCCCGCTGGTGGGGATTTTATCTGAGTGGGATAAGTGAATGGGGAAGGGGGAGGTGAGATACTCCCTGCAGCATTACTCGTGCTAACCAATGTGGGGCGTGACGGGCCTCAGAGGATGCGAGCTGTGGTGCGAGCTGCTCTCCTGCCGTCACCTCAAAGAGGCGGGGGCTCGCTAGGGAGAGAGGGGAAGTGCTCAGGTTAAATCAGAACACCTGTGGCCGGGCGGCACACCAAGCTCATGACCCCGAGGTAGGAGAGAGAATCCACGAGAATTCACGAGAATGCAGTGGTGGTGTTAAGGGCCAGAGGAATTGTCCATCTGCTTTTGTAACACTCTTGACTGAGAAATTTTGGTTTTTTTTTTTTTTTTACATGAAAGGGGAGGGGGGTTTGTATCGCTGCAAAGAAGCTTCCCTGCCATGGGGCCAAAGCCCTCTTGGGGGCCACCAGCGTGTGCTGCCCTGTCATGGCACCGGCCAGCCTGCAGAGAAGCCGTGGGACTAGGCCTCTGGGGGACGGGGAGATGCGACTGGTCTTCGAGGCCAGGCACCTGCCGGTTCTCAGTCAGCGTTTGCTGAACCGATGAACGAGTGAGTGTGTGAGTGGACGAGCAAGCAGAGAAGCAGCCGGTAAAGTGCGGACTGCGGGTGCGGGAAATGAAGGGTCTGCCCCTGGGGCCGCAGCTGCAGGCAGCCCCTGGTTGGGCAGGCGGGTGTCTGCCCCACTGCCAGGGATGTGTCACAGAGTGGCTCACTGTAGTCTGTCCCCCCCCCCCCCCCACCCGTTTCCCGTCTACCAGACATTGAGACGTTGTCTCCAGATTTGCACCTCTTATGAATAAAACTGTAGTGGACGTCTTTGTGTGCACATCTCTTTCCTTTCTGTGAGAAACAACAGAATTTGGGCCCCATCTAGGTGCTCTGATGCCTCTCGTCTCATCCTGAGTGACCCTTCCTGACCACTTGTTTGTAGAGTCCATGGTCCAGGAAGGAAGCAGAAAGACTATCCCTGTCCATTTTTCCTCAGTTACAAACAGGGTGTGGGTGGGTAGTGGCGAGAAAACGTGGCTTTTTCTCCCTGAGACGGAGGAATCCACAGAGGGCTGAGCTCAGCCGTGTGCTGCCTGTCCAGGGTCTTGCCCGGATGGGCCAGGATTTCTCCGGAAGGGAGCAGCTCTGCTCCCAGCCTGCTCCCTGGGTAGAGCTAAACATGCTTGTGACTACACTGGGCGCTCCCCCGTTAACACCAGGCCTCTGGTTGTCTCAGGAGCTGTTAGCCAGCTTGTTGGAGCCGTGGAGGATTGTGACCAGTAGGGCTGGCGGATGACATGCCGGAGTGGATTCTTCAGTCAGGTCCGTAGAGCAGTCAGGAGCAGGCACCCGGGAGGGAGGCAGCTCAGTGCATCCCGGCTGCCCTGGTCCGGTGCCTTCAAGCAACCTGCAGCCTCTCTGAAGCTCGGTTTTTTCAACTGTAAAGCGGATATACCCTACTTCATCGATTCTAAGATGCACCCGTTTCCACCCCGTGACTTCTCTGAAATTGAGATGCGTCTTTCGGTCAGTGGCGTCTCATAGTCGCGGTCAGCCAGCTGGCATTCGTGATGGAGTCGTGTGAAAGCCTTCCGTGGACAGCTGCTGAGACCAAGATGGCGCCCCATCCGCGCATCTTAGAGTTGATGAACTGTGGTAAATAATGAGAGGCGTGCATGAGCGGACGCTGGGGACGCGCTTGACAGGGCTCCTGGCTCCTCAGGTATGGCCAGGAGGGGCTTCCCTTCCTTGCGTCCTTGTCGGGCGATTCCAGATGACCGGAATCGTGCCCCTAAGGAACCTGGAGCCTCTTGGGGAGGTGAGCGTGTGTGCCCAAGGGAGAACAGGGCAAGATGACGTGGGGGCGTTTGTAGAAGGGAGAGGTGTGTCGAGCAGAGAGGGCTTGGCAGTGGAGGTGGTATGTGAGGTGGACCTCAAAGGAGGAGAGAATCCGAGCGTGTGAGGGAGGAGAGGGGCGGACTCCAGGATAGAACAGTGTGCTTCGTGCATGGCTGTGTGCTTGCTGCCTTCCTGCTGCCTGTGCAGAGTGCCTGCTGCTTTGCTGGGGAGGTGGGGGGTGCTCTGGGCTTGGGCTCTTGGCTTGGCTAGTCCGTGGGCAGAAGACCTGGGCTGCATGAGTTGTCCTGTCCCTGGGGGGCAGCTGAGCTGCACAAAGGTCCATGACCTCTGGAGCTCAGTCATTTCATTGAACTATGGTCTCTGGTGGCAAAGCCAGGCAAGCCCTAGGCCCCTTCAGACCTCTGTGAAACTGGAGGTCGGAGTTCAGCATTCTCCCAGCTAGCTACATTTAGGAAAATGCTTTAAAAAAAAAAAAAAAAAAGTCATTACCCTCACGCACTGCGGAAAACGTCTGGAGTGAAGTAACAGGCCCAGGCAAGCTGTATTCTTCAAACAGCCTCAGCAGGGTTCAAGAACGCCAGGTGTTTCTGGGGTGCATGAGTCAGTGTGCTGGCTGTGGACGTGGCCCGGGGAGGGTCAGTGGGGAGTGGTCTGCAGCCCTGGGTGCCAAGCACAGTCTGTCCTCACCAGCCCTGGAGGAACACCACCTGTGAGAAGGCCTGGCCTTGCTCGTGAGGAGTCCCGAGCCCTTGCGTGTCTGTGAGGCCCGCAGAGGTGTTGTATGAGTGGGATGGGAGGCCAAGTTCAGCCATTCTCTTAGAGGGTCCAGGAGTGAACACGTTGAAGGCTTTTGATGGACATACTGCCAGACTGCTCTCCCAGCAGGCAGGCCACCCGTGCTCCACTGCCCGCCTCTGCCCAGTTAGGCCAAGGCCAGACCAGGCTGTCAGACCTTCACCAAAGCAAGGCAAAACAGAGGTCGTGTTTCAACTTGCCCTTTCGCGGTTCCTCATGGGGTGCGCCTCGCTTCCTATCTTCTTTCTGGCAGCTGTTCCATTGTGGGATGGCTGCTCATGTCTGCCGTCTCCTAACGGGGTTTCCAGCACCCCCCCAACTCCCATCTTTGTTATCTGGAGGAGCCTTTTATAGATCAAAGACACACTACTTTGTCAACTATCACAAGTACTTTTTTCTCCTATCCTTTTTATCTTCAGTTTCTTCTCTTCCAGAAGTTTGGTGGTGACGTAGTCACACACGTGTCCATGTCTCCCTTTGGATTTAGGTGTAGAAAGTCTGTCCCTGCCCTGAAGTTAGATAAGCAGTCTCTTGTTCTTCGAGGTTAAGATTTCCGTTTTTAATGTTTTCTTCTGTGATCCATGTGGCTGGGTTAGAGGGTCTGACGAGGCCCCCAGCCATGCCGGTAGCCTGAGGGCCCAGCTGTGTTTGTTGAATGGCTACTCTCCCTGCCTGCCCTGCCCGCCCACCCCCTGGTCTCTCTAGGTATCATGTTCGTGCAGGAGGAGGCCCTGGCCAGCAGCCTCTCATCCACCGACAGTCTGACTCCCGAGGACCGGCCCATTGCCCGGGGATGCTCTGATTCCTTGGAGTCCATCCCTTCCGGACAGGTAACACCCTCCTCCTCCTGGGGATTGCTTATCGCTGTGGACCGAGTGGTTTGCCTGCAGCTGTCTGGAAGTAGGACTGGCCTTGGCTAGACGGTGGAGGTAGCCTGGCTGTTATTGGAGCAGATGCTGCCACTTTCTGGTGCACTCTGATTTGTGATGAGCAGTTTGTGTTCCGTCTGTCTGTCCGTCTGTGTGTGTGTGTGTGCGCATCTGTCTGTTATTCTTGGGACTAATAGAAACAGGCAGTTTTCTCACTAGGCCCTCGGAGGCAAAGCCAGGTCGTCCTTAGCCCTGCACGCAGACTCTTCTGGGAAAGGCAGTTCGGAAAGCCGAAGGTGGGGATTGTTTGGGTCTCACACCCATCAGGAAGAGTTTCTCCGCTGTTACCGGGCTCGCTGGGCTACTCTTCCAGCTCCTGCATGGTACCCTAGTAGTCAGACACACTGCGACTCCAGCACCTCCTCTGTGGCTGCTGCTGAGGGTTCTGGAACTTCTGTCCTGGGAAGAGAGGAGGAAGACAAGTGTGATGTGGGCATTCTGCTTGGTTCCTGGGCCTCCATCCAGCCCTGTGTTCAGTAGGTCATGGCCCTGTGACCCTGGGCAGTTTGCAGAGTCCTAGCTTTGTCCCAGCACTCCTTGGCACTCCTCCCTTCACTCTCCCCAGGATCACACAGTCGGAGGTGCCCAGGCCCTAGGTCCTCCGCACTGCCCAGAGACCACTGGGAGGGCCTTGCCAGGTGCTGCACAGCCTCTGCCCGTTGAGGTTTCTGCAGGCCAGTTGCCACATTGGTAGGCTGTCCGTGTGGACCCTCTGGGGTGGCATGGGGAGCACAGGGATGCCAGACTTCAGACACGTGGTGAGCTGCAGAGTGGCAGAGGTGCTGACCCCGGTCCTGCGGCCACGGGCTGGGGCCGGACAGAGGTGGCAGTCTCCACTCCGCTGTGCACTGCCGTGTAACTGGCTGAGTCTCTCTCAGCATTTCCGGGGCCCAGAATCTGCCCCCGAGGGAAGCGTGGGGGTGGTGAGGAGCTTCCTGCAGGGTGGTGAGCTGGGACGGGATGCCTGGCTCAGGGTCCAGCCCCCAGTAAATGCCAGGGGGGCGGCTGCAGCAGGTGGCGGCTCACGGCGTGTCCTTCTTTGTCAGGCACCTTCTGATGATTCACGGGACATCCCTGGAGCTGTTGGCGGTGTGAGGTGAGGAAGAGTTTAAGAAGGCATCTGAGCCCTTCTGCACATGCCCAGCTGTGGACTGGTGGGAGCCAGTGGGATTTTGTTAGTAGTCTGTTCGTAGAAGTCCTTCAGAGCTGTTTCTTCCTTTGAATATATAAACAGCAACGAGATGGGCTCTGGTCTGTTTCCAAACCCTAATCCCTGAAGTTCGTTGGACATGTTACCCCAGAGTAGGGGTAAGCAGATCGAGGCCGATTTGGTCCATGGCCTACCTTGTACAGCCTGTGAGCTGAGAATGATCATTCTATTCTCGAAGTACGGTTTAAAAAGATTATGTGGACGGGCTCCTCCAGAAACCTGTGGTGTTCACTCTCTGACACTTTATAGAAGTTCTATATGTGATTTTTCACGGAGGGGAGCAGTACCCAAGAGAAGGTAGAATTTTTCTTTTTCTTTTCCTTTTTTTTTTTTTTTTTTTTTAAGATTTTGTATATTTGAGAAAGAGAGCACAAGCTGGGGCCAGGGGATGAAGGGAGAAGGAGAAGCAGATTCTCTGCTGAGCAGGGAGCCGATGCAGGGCTGGATCCAAGGACCCTGAGATTGTGACCTGAACCAAAGGCAGATGCTTTAAAATGACTGAGCCCCCCAGGCGCCCCAAGAGGAGCTAGAACTGAAATGTGAAAGTCCTAAGACCCACCTAGCTTACTCCCTGACTCCCATCCCAGAGGCCCCTGGGTGCCCTTGAAGGGAACCATGGTCAGTAAGTGACTTCATGCCCTTGAGCTCTTGTTCCCTTTGGGGCTTGCAGCCAGCATCTGTGCGACCGAGAGGGCTTTGTGGGGCTTTTGTTGGGGGAGCCCACGTGGTGTGGCTAAGGTGGGGCTGAGTGCTTCTGGTCTGGGCCCTGGGGCTGTAGATTGTCCCTGAACTGGCAGGCCCGCCTTCAGGCACCCCGGCTCCCCACTGGGGCACTTGTCGTGGACCCAGGGGTTCAGCAGACGGCTCTGCGTGTGGTCGGTAGGGCCGGTCCAGCCCAGCGTGCGGTTGACCTTGGCCTCTCCCCGCACAGCCCGGAGCACGCGGAGCCTGAGGTCCAGGTGGTGCCGGGGTCCGGCCAGATCATCTTCCTGCCCTTCACCTGTATCGGTTACACGGCCACCAACCAGGACTTCATCCAGCGCCTGAGCACGCTCATCCGGCAGGCCATCGAGCGGCAGCTGCCCGCCTGGATCGAGGCCGCCAACCAGCGGGAGGAGGGCCAGGGCGAGCAGGGCGAGGATGACGAGGACGATGAGGATGATGAGGACGCCGCGGAGAACCGCTACTTTGAAATGGGGCCCCCGGATGCGGAGGAAGAGGAGGAGGGCGGCCGGGTGGAGGAGGAGGAGGAGGAAGAGGAGGAGGAGGAGGAGGAGGAGGGCGAGGAGGAGCGCCTGGCCCTGGAGTGGGCCCTGGGCGCGGACGAGGACTTCCTGCTGGAGCACATCCGCATCCTCAAGGTGTTGTGGTGCTTCCTGATCCACGTGCAGGACAGCATCCGCCAGTTCGCCGCCTGCCTCGTGCTCACCGACTTCGGCATCGCCGTCTTCGAGATCCCGCACCAGGAGTCGAGGGGCAGCAGCCAGCACATCCTGTCGGCCCTGCGCTTCGTCTTCTGCTTCCCGCACGGCGACCTCACCGAGTTCGGCTTCCTCATGCCGGAGCTGTGTCTGGTGCTCAAGGTGCGGCACAGCGAGAACACGCTCTTCATCATCTCGGACGCCGCCGGCCTGCACGGGTTCCATGCCGACCTGCGCTCCTGCTTCGCCCCACAGCACATGGCCATGCTGTGCAGCCCCGTGCTCTACGGCAGCCACACCAGCCTGCAGGAGTTCCTCCGCCAGCTGCTCACCTTCTACAAGGTGGCGGGTGGCTGCCAGGAGCGCAGCCAGGGCTGCTTCCCCGTCTACCTGGTCTACAGCGACAAGCGCATGGTGCAGACGGCCGCTGGCGACTACTCGGGCAACATCGAGTGGGCCAGCTGCACGCTCTGCTCGGCCGTGCGGCGCTCCTGCTGCGCGCCCTCCGAGGCCGTCAAGTCCGCCGCCATCCCCTACTGGCTGCTGCTCACGCCCCAGCACCTCAACGTCATCAAGGCCGACTTCAACCCCATGCCCAACCGTGGCACCCACAACTGTCGCAACCGCAATAGCTTCAAGCTCAGCCGCGTGCCGCTGTCCACAGTGCTGCTGGACCCCACGCGCAGCTGCACCCAGCCGCGGGGCGCCTTCGCCGACGGCCACGTGCTGGAGCTGCTCGTGGGCTACCGCTTCGTCACTGCCATCTTCGTGCTGCCCCATGAGAAGTTCCATTTCCTGCGTATCTACAACCAGCTGCGGGCCTCGCTGCAGGACCTAAAGACTGTGGTCATTGCCAAGACGCCTGCGACCGGGGCCCGGTCCCAGAGCCCCCTCGTGGAAGGCCAGGCTGCCGAGGACAGGGCCAGGTGAGACCGAGCACAGGCTCTCGGGGCGGGTGGGGGGTGGGCACTGTGTCTGAGACCATTCACCCCAGATCAGATCTGTGAATGTCTGCATGTGTGAATGGGTCCAGGTGGGCCCCGTCCTCTGTTCCTCCTTGGCTTCTGACCAGCCTCAGCGTTGCCCTTGTCTCCTTCTGATGCCCTGTGCCAAGCCTTACTGTGGTGGTGAGCCGTATCCCCCCTTTCAGGAAGGACTGGGTCACTGAGAGGCTCTCTCTCTGCATGGAATTTTGTGAGTTCTCTCCAGAGGAGCTTGTTGGCTGAGAGCAGCAGTGTCTGAGGTCTGAGTTTGAGAGCCGGGTGGATCCCGCATTCAGAGCTCCTTTCCTTCTTACAGCAGGGGAGACAGAGAGGGAAGTGGTGGCAGTCTTGCCCTGTTCTTCTGCTCTCTGCTCCTGCCCCCTCTGTCTGGCTTTCCCCTGGCTCCGTGCCTGAGTTTCCTTCAGGGCCATCTGGAGCTGAGGCTAGAGGGAGGCCTGTGAGCAGCTGTGGTCATACCCTCAGCTCACCCACACCCAAAACTCCAGAGGGGCCTCGTGCCCTGAGGGGTGCCTGGCTTCTGCCACTGCCCCCTGGCTTCACATGTGCTGGGGCTTCCCCAGCCTGGGCAAGAAAGCCCTTCATCTGTTGGTCCTCCTGTCCTCAGAGATCTCCTCTTTTTCTCTTCTGTCCTTGTGGACGGTGGAGACCCTGTCCTCACGTCAGCATCTCATGCCTCTCCCTGTCGTCCCAGACCCCAGCGGAGGTTCCCAGGGGGCTCCCAGCCTCTCCCTGCATGAATCAGCCACCCTTCTTGGGCCCAGCTTAAGTTCCATGCCCTCCTAGAGACGCCATCAGGTCTCCAGGCGCTAGAGAGCAGCTTGTGCCCAAGGCACCCTGCATGGCCTTCCCCCTCCCTGCCACCGTGCTGAGGCCTTGAGCGGTGACACCTCGTCTCCATTTCCTTGCTGTCCCCAAGCCTCTTTGGAACCTGGCCACAGTGGGGACTGCTTGCAGAAAACAGCTGCCCTGCTCTGTCCCAGCAGACACATCTCTGCAGCAGGACGAGGGGGGACCGCCCAGGGATTTCTCTCAACAGCTGGGATGTCCTAACAGAGAGGGTGACGTCCAAAAGACCCCCTCAGCCTGGGCACAGGCATGAGGCCACCTGTAGGGTCCTCCCCGCCTCAGTGGTTGGTTCCTAACCTGAGCTTTCGGGCTTCTGAGCATTGTTTGATCTTATGCTCGGAACAGACTGGTGAAAATCCAGTGTGGCCGCTTGTATGGTGGCAGGGTGCGGGGAGAGCCTGGGCTGCCTGAGGTGGACCCAAAGGCAAGCTGAGGGGCTGTTTGGTTTGGGTTCTCACCTCTAGTTGCACTCAGGTCCTGGGTGTGGACACCTTGGTCCAAGTTCTGAACTCAGGAGTGGCATTTTTGATCCTTCTACAATCTTCTGAAAATGAATTCTTAACCCATGGGCCACACATCTGGCTGTCCCAGCCCTGGAGTAGCAGACAGCCTATCTTTCCCCTGACTAATCTCATGTCGAAGGGCAAAGCCTGGCACTTTCCCTTTGCTCTGCTTCCTTTGGGGAATCTGAAGATGACATCCCCAGGTGATCTCAGATGTGGCATTTGTTCCATTACACTGTGAGGTTGTGTGTGATAGGACTCTCCCCTCGGGATCCTGATGCTAACTCAGTGTCTCTTGGGGGATCGGGGGAGGCAGCAGTGACCAGCGGCCCCAGGATGCCCCAGCAGAGGCCCCAGCTCCAGCCCCTGCGGAGGCCCCAGCCTTGGACCCAGCCCCGGGGGAGGGCCCCGCTTCGGCCCTGGAAGAGGCCTTGTGCCCAGCAACGGCCACGGGCCCGGTGGAGCCCTCGCTTCCAGCTCCAGTCCCCGCAGAGGCCTCACGCCCGGAGGAGTCCCCCGAGGAGACCCCGGCGGAGATCCCAGCCCTGGCCGAGTCCTCGGGGCCAGTGGAGGCTCCCGCTCAGTACCCGAGCGAGCACCTGATCCGCTCCACGTCGGAGGAGAATCAGATCCCGTCGCACCTGCCCGCCTGCCCGTCGCTGCAGCACATCGCCAGCCTGCAGGGCAGCACCGTCATCGAGCTCTTCCACAGCAGCATCGCCGAGGTAGCGGCCCTGCGCAGGGTCCGCCGGCTGGCCGCTGTGTGCGGAAAGCTGGAGTCGGGGGCGGGAGGTCCTGGGCTGCCCCTCCCTGGTCCGCTGTCTTCCCCGTCACCACCTCTCCCTGCGGCCGCTCCTCACCTTGGGCCCCAGACACAGCCTGCCTCACTCCCATCTCCTACCCTTCCGTTCTTTGCTTCCAAGTTTATAAACACGTGGGCCAGAGGTCTTGAGGGTCCTGTGTGTCCTTATCCAGGACTGGAGGTGTGTCCCTGGGCCGTGCAGGTCACCAGGGCTTTGTGGCTAATGGACTGGGGGCTGCCCTGCCCAGAGCTCTGTTGTCAGGTGGGCACTGGAAGCAAGTTCTGTGCCCCCTGCCCTGCTCTGCTGTGGGCCCAGACCCAGCTTTTCTGTGTCCAGGTGGAAAACGAGGAGCTGAGGCACCTCATGTGGTCCTCAGTGGTGTTCTACCAGACCCCAGGGCTGGAGGTGACCGCCTGCGTGTTGCTGTCCACCAAAGCTGTGTACTTTGTGCTGCACGATGGCCTCCGCCGCTACTTCTCAGAGCCTTTGCAGGGTAGGCACCTCTGCCTGCGAGCTCCCGGGAGCTCCCCTGAGGCCGTGGGGGAGCTTGTTGGTGCCTGGCCGAGCTGAGCCTCCCTTGTGTGAGGAAGGGGCCTGATAACCAGAATGTCTCCTGGCGCTATCACGAGATACCTACAGCCAGCCCGTGAGGCAGGGCCTGGCCAGGGCCCAGGAACTGGCAGGGACGGGGAGGGGGTTGGACAGTCTCTGTCCCATGGGACCCTACTGGGAGCCTTAGCCCGTGGCCTGTTGTAGAGCTCCTGGTGCCTGTGCTGAGCCAGGCAAGGCTGACCCTAGAATGTGTGGCCCTTGAGGCCTGAGGTCTGCAGAAGCAGGGCCAGCTCTTTGCCAGGTGTCCAGCGGCCAGGCTGGCCGAGGGGCCCCCTTCCTGCTGAACGGAGCTGTGCACCCGGGACCCTCATGCTTGCCCGGCAGAGCCAGTGCCACAGCTGGTGCCCATCTCTCTGCCGCAGATTTCTGGCATCAGAAGAACACGGACTACAACAACAGCCCCTTCCACATCTCCCAGTGCTTTGTTTTAAAGCTCAGCGACTTGCAGGCAGTCAACGTTGGGCTTTTCGACCAGCATTTCCGGCTTACGGGTGAGTGACCGCTGTGCTTTGTCCTGTTTTGGGTGAAGGCCAGTGTCACCAGTGGGCTTGCGCCTTCCACATGTGGGTGCGTTATCACAGGCTGAGTTATCTCTGTTCACAAGCCCGTTCACCGGAGCGGGAGGAAGCAGCTTCAGGAACTGCTGAGCATGCAGAACCCCACAGGGCTTGAGTGCAAGGCGGGAACCGAGGCGGCCAAGTGCCCGGCGGGCAGGGAGAGTGGGCCCAGGGCTCACGGGCAGGATGTTTCTGACTCACACTTCCTGAAGAGAGAAAGCTAAGCTTTTTCCCTAATGCCTCTGCATCCCCTTCCAGAAAAATGTCACAGCCCTTCCGGCCGGAGAAATCACTATCTCCCCAGGCCCCATGATGCTTTCCCACGTGGGTCCTCCTGGCCCCCGGGGCAGGGCTGGGGTGGGGGAGAGGTGGCTGCAGCCCTGACCAGCCCCTTGTCCCGCAGGCTCCTCCCCGACGCAGGTGGTTACCTGCCTGACCCGGGACAGCTACCTGACACACTGCTTCCTGCAGCACCTCATGGGCGTGCTGTCCTCACTAGAGCGCACACCTTCGCCTGAGCCCGTCGACAAGGACTTCTACTCCGAGTTTGGGAACAAGACCACAGGTACCCCCCCACACCTGGCTCGGGCCGCAGCAGGCCCCGGAGTGCCTCTTTTGGCCCAGAACTCGCCCTCCCTCGCTCGCTTTCTCTCCTCCGTGCTTCGCCAGCCAGGGTTTTCCGTGGGCTTTTCCACACCAGAGCTTCCATTCCAGCAAAACCTCAGCCACCTGGCAGATCCATCTCAAGTGTCTGTGGGTCTCTGCTCAAGCGTGGGGGGCCTGGATTACTCTCCTACTTCTGCCGGCCCCTGATCCCGCCCCTGTGGATGGCTTGGGTTCGCCGGTGCTCTGGGCCCCAGCACCAGCCAGGCCAGGCTACAACCCCGGTGGGCCCCCCTCTCTGCAGGGAAGCTGGAAAACTATGAGCTGATCCACTCAAGCCGTGTCAAGTTCACCTACCCCAGCGAGGAGGAGATCGGAGACCTGACATTCACCGTGGCCCAGAAGATGGCCGACCCAGAGAAGGCCCCAGGCCTCAGCATCCTGCTGTATGTGCAGGCCTTCCAGGTGGGCACGCCGCCCTCTGGGCGCTGCAGGGGCATGCTGCGCCCCAAGACGCTCGTGCTCACCAGCGCCGAGATCTTCCTCCTGGATGAGGACTTTGTGCACTACCCACTGCCTGAGTTCGCCAAAGAGCCACCGCAGAGAGACCGGTACCGGCTGGACGACGGCCGCCGCGTCCGGGACCTGGACCGCGTGCTCATGGGCTACCAGCCCTACCCGCAGGCCCTAACCCTTGTGTTTGACGACGTGCAGGGCCACGACCTCATGGGCAACGTCACCCTGGACCACTTCGGCGAGGTGCCGGGGGGTCCTGGCGGAGCTGGCCAGGGCCGCGAGGTCCAGTGGCAGGTGTTCGTGCCCAGCGCTGAGAGCCGCGAGAAGCTCATCTCGCTGTTGGCTCGCCAGTGGGAGGCACTGTGCGGCCGGGAGCTTCCCGTCGAGCTCACCGGCTAGCCCAGGCCACCATGGCCAGCCCTTGCCACCCGCTGTGTCCGGCCTGGCGCCCACTCAGAGCGGGAAGCAGGCTTTCTTTATTCTTTTTAAAGTGTTTCTCCCCTGTTTTGGGTACCCTCGTTGGACCGTCCTTGCAGAGAATGTCAATGTCTGCGCTCAGTGATCTCTTTCCAGTGCTGGGAGTGAAAGTGCCGGCCCCCTCCAGGACCCCCCCAACCCCGTGCCCTCCACCTCCCATGGCTCTGTTGCCTGTCCCTGGGGTGGTGTGGCCGGTGCACCAGTGTTGTGTTTCCTGTCGTGGGACTGTTATTCACACGTGGCGCCGTGGGTCTGATTTATTCTTCTCTGTCCTTCGCTGAAATGTCTTGTCTAGTCATGTGCTGTCCTTGTGGGCGTTTGCTGCTAATCGTGAGGCTGGTAGCAAAATGCACATCAGAAGCTCCCGCCCCGTGCGGATTTCCAGAGTGGAGCCTCTCCTGGCCCGACCGAGTGGGAGAGCCCCCTGGGGGCAGGAGTCCCCAGGCCTCGGGGCTGAAAGGGGCGGTGGCAGGGGACCTAGAGCTGCCAGCTCCGAGTGTGATTCTTGTCGCCTGTTTTCTCTATTCTAATAAAGCTCAGTTTGACACAGACTCCGTCTTTTATTTCAAGGGCCACTGGGGTCTCTGCCGGGCGCTGGCCCAGGGCCAGGTTGGCATGAGGGAGAGGGTCTCCTAGGGAAGCAGGAAGGTGAGCTCCTGGGGGTAGGGGGGAAAGGAAGGAGGGAGAAGGGCATGAAGGGCAAGGGAGCAGCTCGACTCGGCCGCGCTAGCGGGCTGGCCCTGGAGGGCCAGTGCAGGGGAGGTAGGAGGGAGCCCTCGGATTGGGCCGGGCTGGGCTTCCACCCTGAGCCTCAGGGCACATGCGGCACCCTGGCTCACTGGCTTTCTGCCCCCTGCAGGTCTGGAATGTCCCCGCTGAAGCTGTAGTGTGTTGTGAGGGTAAGCCCTAGAGTCTGGGATTGCAGAGGGTGGGTGCTGGGTGTCTCACCAAGAAGGCTCATGGGGTGGGGGGAAGCCCTGTGGGAGGTGTCCCCAGGTGGTGGGTAGTCTGTTGGTGTTCTCAGAGAAGTGGGGATTGCCTCAGGGGGACCTGCCAAACTAGGACCCGGGATTTCTTTGGGAGCCTGCTGTGTGTCCCACCCTTCCTCATCCCATTCCTACCCCTAGAGCGGGGCTCTGGAGCCCCACTTGTCTCTCCCATCCTGGCCCAATCAAGAGTGTCAGGCCCCAAGGTCCTAGGGCCATTTGGGCCAGGCAGGACTGAAGAAGAGGTGATTGGAGGGTGGTCAACTCAGCTCCCAGCCCGCTGCTCCTGCCCTCCCCTGGTGCCCGCAGTAGGGCCTAGAGGAGCCATCGCCGTCAAGAAGGCTGCAGGGGGCGCAGGGGTTTCTCCCCACTCACAACGTCCCTAGCCAGCTTTCAAAGGCCAGCCCAGAGGCCCCTCTAGCCGGTGGGGCGGAGAGAGGCCCGCTGATGGAGAGGAGGAGGCAGGTGACAAGGCTTCTCCGTACCAGGCTTTTATTAAGGGCCTTTACAGATGGCCACCTGCCTCTCTCCATCTGTTCGGTGTAAACAGGTAGTGACAACCAGAGGCAGGGTCTGCTCCCTGGACTATTGTTCCAGGCCCTGTGGACCCACATGACAGCTGACCCCTGTCTGGGTCTGTGAGGACAGGACCTCCTGGCAAGAGGCCGGGTGGCGTGTGCATGGGCCTGTGCAGGCCACGGGCCTTACGTGTTGAGTATGGGACCCCACCGCTGATTAGCCCAGAGACTTTAGGCGGATTTCTTAGAGCCTCTGCGCCTGGTCTGCCCACCGGTACCAGGGCAACAAAGGTAACTGCCTGCCTCTTTCATGCACCCGCAAGTCTGCACAGGGCCCCCACCGTGTGAAGCGCCACACGCCATCCTTGCTCGCCCATAGCTGACATTCCAGCAAGGGACGGAGGATACACGAAATAAACAGGGTCAGCTCATAGCAAGTGCTGTGAGGTGATGACAGCTGGTGACCCTTGACCTGAGGCTGACCTTGGGGTGAGTCCCTGTGAGAGGATCTGGGGGCAGACAGCTTAGGGAAGTGGGGAGGCTGACGGCCAGAGCGGGCAAGGTGGGGCTGGTCAGGCACGGAGGGGTGTGGAGCGCACTGGGAAGCCAGGAGGCCCCCTAGGGGGAAAGAAGGGCTAGAAGGGGTAACAGGGACCAGGTGGAGGGGTGGCTGGGGCAGGTGAGCGAGGGAGCTGTCTGATGGGCTGTCTGCTTAGCACGGGCCCGGCAGGGAGTCGAGGCCCACAGCTGCTCTCAGTTGGAAAGCTGGAGGCAGGCAGACCTGATTCAGGGCTGCCCTACCCTGACCCACCGGAGCCTCTCACCGCCACCCACAGCCCCAGAGCCTCTGAATGATCGAGGCCGGGCTTGGGGACGACGGCTGGGCGGTGGTTTGTATGGGGGGTGGCTGCACAGCCCCTGCTGGGGCTCAGGCTGCGGCTGATGGTGGGCTCAAGGGCTGTGCGGCCAGGAGGAGGGTCTCTGGTCAGGAAGCTCCGAGCAGGGCCCAGGCCGACCATGCAGGGGTCAGCGGCCAGCACCTTCCCTTCCGCCTGCAGGCTGCTGATAGCAGGAGGAAATCCTGGCGGGTTCCTGTGGGGGTGAGCTGGCGGGGCCTCCGGACTGCTTTTAAAGCCTCTGCCCGCCCCGGCCCGCCCTGCACCCCTGCGCCTGCCTCCCGGAGCTCGTTCCCCACACTGGCTGCCCTGACCATCCCGGCCGGCGTGCCTGCCAGCCGCCACCAGCCATGGCAGGGCCCCGGGGCTGCCTCCTGCTCTGCCTCCTGGTCTTCTGCCTAGCAGGCTCCAGCTTCACCAGGGGGCAGAAGGTGAGTGTGAGCCAGGTGCAGGGGCACGCGGGATCCAGGGGTGGGAGCAGGAAGGGAGCGTATACAGGGTGGGCCCAGGTCTGGGGACACACAGGGCAGCAGGACCAGAGGCCTGTGCCTGTGTGTCCACGTCCGCAGGCTGCAGTGTGGGTCCAGCTGCCTGGGCTGGCAGAGTGTCACCTTGCCCTCCTCCAACCGTGCTCAGCCTGCCAGCCTCGTTGCAGTGTGGGCAGCCATCCTGCGGCTCCCCAGGCTGAGGCTGAGGGGACAGAGCCAGGCCCCTGCTCCTGCCCTCCCTGCCCAGACTGAGGCTTGGTCTTTCTGTGAGCCCGGCCTGGGGATTGAAGCTAGGATCACCCCCTAACCCTGGAGAGGCTAGCAAACGGACTCACGTGGAACACACATGTGTGTGCCCACGTCCGGCCCCGGGGCGGAAGGAGGTCTGCTCACCCCCAGTCCTCTGGGTAAATGGCAGCCAACAGTAACACTCCCAAACCCGAGGGCTGCCATTTACCAAGGGCACAGCCTGGGCACGGCCTGGGCACAGCCGGGCATTATCCCCAGCACCCTGGGCGGTGGGTCCTGTTCTCCACCAGAGGAATCGGAGCCCAAGGATGACAGAATCAGATCAGGCTGACTCTGGAGCCGTGTTCCTGACTGACCTGTGATCCCCCAGAGAAAGGGTCCCCGGGTGTGGCTAGCAGGGCAGTGCGTGCCAGCCACCTCCCAGCTGCCCATCTACGGGTTCACGCAGGCCCCAGAGTGGGAATGCTGTCCCCACTGGAGCTTCTGGGAGAGCCTCCCACCCTGAGAATGGAGAGAGTTGCCTGGCTGGGGTCTGCCTGCCGATGAGGGGAGGGACCCTGTGAGGCTAAGTCCATCTGATTTTGGGGGCGGCTGCTGCTGTCCCCATATCATATGCTGTCCCCATATCCCCTCAGCGGGCAGGCTGAGGTACAGAGAAGAGGGACCTGCTCAGGATCCCGCTGCCAGGTCCAGGTTCATGGGTGGAAAGCTGCAAGGATGACTGTGGTGGTAGAAGGGCCCAAGGTTCTAGGCTGGGCTAAGCCCCGCAAGTGGGCTCCTGCTCCCTCGATGCCTGTAAGGGGAGTACAAGGGAATTTCAAAGGCCTGCCGCCGCACACTTGGAATTTCTCCTCGTCAAAGACCTGTGCTCTCTGGCTGAGGCTCCGCCAGCCTAGACCAGGCAGACGGTCCTGGGGGTGCTTGTGGACAGGGACACGGCAGTGCGGGACTTCTCTCATGTCCTCAGTCACCCAGCCCTCCCGGCACCCCTGCAGCACGAGGCTCACTCTAAATGTTAACAAACTGAGGTTCAAAGGGGTAGGGGAGACCTCTGGGTCACATAGCCAGTGAGGGGCAGAAGCAGAACGCAAACACAGACAGGTTCAGGCAGTAGAGGCTTCAAGGAAGGCTTCCTGTAGGAGGGGGTTCCTAGCCCCTGTCTGTGCAAAAGTCTTTTATTCATTGCCTCGTCTGTGCTGGTGCTGGAGGAGCCTGTGTTCTCAAGCTGGGGCGTGCAGGGAGAAGGGCACCAATCTCGGGCAGGAGCAGCAGTTGGATGGGGTGCCGTCCCTCTGAGGGAGGGGCCCTGGACCCCAGTTTGGGGGGAATTTCTCTCACCTTCCTACAACAGGCTAATACCTCATGTCTCCTCAACTTCCCTAGCAGCATGTCTGTCTCTGTGGGAAGCAGACGTTGCAAAATCAGCTCTGGATCGGGGCGGGACTGGGGGGCAGCCCCCGCCTGGCTCAGGCAGTCCCGAGGTGCCCCGGGAAGAAGGGAATCTGATTCAGCACTGGGCCGTGATCCAGAGAGACCAGTGGCGAGGCAGGGCTCGGGAGGCTGGTGCTCCTTTCAGGCAGAGGGGCCCGGTGCGCTCCCCCGCGAGAAGTAGGACTTGCCTGCTGGTTTAACCGCCTTTCGCCATTTCACACACATTTCCCGATGCTCCAGTCTGGGAGTGAGGGTGTGACATCGGGACAAGAGGCTCCTGCTTCCTCCTGTGCTCACCACCGCACTGCAAACCCCACCGCTCTCCTTCTCTCCTTCTCTCCTTGCCGCCCTTTCTCCTGAGCTCTTAGCCAGGCCTGGCCATTCCTCGGAAAGCCAGTCCCTGGGCCAGTGGTGGCCACTGTGGCAGCCGAGCCTGCCTGGCCAGGTGGCCCTCAGGGTGCCTTTGCCCTGAGCCAGCAGCTGCCCAGCCCTGGGGTTACCCAACTTCCTAGACGTCCCCTGGCTCAGCAGAGACAGAGCCCCGGGGTGGGGAAGGAGACCGCAGCACTCAGCCCCGCGGCCCGGCCTGAGGCCGCTCTCAGCAACTTCCTTCCTTGCCAACCGCAGAGGCATGAGTGGGAAGGGCCAAATCACAGCGGCAGAGGGGCCCCGGGACTCTGGCGTTCACCGGAAGAACGTGCCAGGCCACGGTTTCTCCTTTTCTCTTGCTTTAAGCGGCCTCGCGTCCGTAATGTGTTCTAGGAAAGAGATGTTCTGGCTCACTGCCTTTGAACCACAGTGTGTTCAGCATTTTTTAGACGAGAACATCTTCTCGAACCCATGGCCCAGGCCCCTGGATCCTCTTCTCCATCCACGCGCATGGTCCTTTGGTCCTTTCTCCCACTTATAACCAAGAGTGAAGCTTCCCTCCTCCAGGCACAGGGCTGCCATCCGTAAAGGTAGCCCCAGGGATGGAGGACTTGCAGGCCCCGTGCGGGCCAGGGAATGGGCTTTCCGGGCACTCAGCACCCTCCGGGAACGGCCTCCTTCCCACCCCCTCCCCCGCTCCCCTGCAGCAGCCAGAGGCCCACTTAAAACCAGCCCGCTGCCCTGATCCTCACCCTCGCTGGCCCGGCCCCTGGGCCCTCTCCTCGGCAGCTCCGCCTTGTCACACAAGATCGTCTGCTCCTTCCACCTCCCAGCTTTTGCCTCTCCTGTCCCCTCTACCAGGGGGACTACCCTGGCCAACTCATGGGCAACTTCCAGCCCAGTTCAATTGTCACCTCCCATGGGAAGCCACTGGGTTTTCTCAACCTCCTTGCTGCCAGCATCGCCCACCCGATCGATGATGGCCCGCGGCCCCCTGGGTCTGGGCTGGTACTTGGGGCCAGGGGCCGGGGGCCAGGCTGTGGGCAGAGTGCCGGAAGGCATGCAGACGCCCTTGTGCACACCTGCTCACATGGGCCTGCCTCTCGGGTCTGGGGCTGGCTGCTGGGTCTCTACCCTCTGGAGAGGCCAAGCGGGCCCTCGGACTTGCTTACAGGGTCATTGGGCAGCACGCTGGGGGCGCGATCTGGGCAAAGCGATGGCCAGAGGGCCAGCCCCAAAGTGTGATCTGTCTGCGCTGGGCAGCGTCTACGTGGCATTTAGTGTTGATTTTTCAGTGCAAGGTGATAAGGGACACTAGGATGAAAGACCCGTTCTGGTCCCCAACATTCCCAGGCCCCAGATGGTTTGGGGTCTGGGGTTCGGTTTCTCCATCTGAATGGGCGGAGGTGGAACAAAATGGCTGTGTTCTCTTTGTATCGGGAGTTACAGACCCTGGGGCTCTCGGATGTGTGTTCGCGGCCCTGGGCAGAGGGCCGAAGTCCGTGGCTGTGGACGTAGGAACACACTGGCAGTGACAGGCAGGTGTTCCTGTGTCCTGGGGCCTTCCCTGGCCTCACTGCTGGACAGATGGGAAAGTGAGGCCTGGAGAGGAGTGCTGGGCCTTGGCTCCATCAGAGTGGAGTCAGGACTGGGTGCAGGGGCCAGGCCCCTCACTCCAAACCCCCCGTGGCCCAGGTGCAGTCCAGACGCTGCGATGTGAAGACCAAGTTTGTCACGCGCATCCCCTGCACCATGTGCCCAGCCATCAAGAGGCGGATGTGCCCCCCAGGCTGGCTCCGGGCGCTACCAGAGAAGATAGCCCAGGACTGCCGGTGGGACTCTCTGCCTCTGCCTCTGCCTGCCCGACTTCCAGGAGCATCTGTGGGGTCGGGGCAGGGGGACGAGGGAGAGCTGGCAGGCGTGGGCAGGGAGGGCAGTCACTTGCCTGCATGTTGGTTGGCCCCTCAGGTGGGCAGAGATAGGGAGGGAAGAAGAAGGGGGAGTGGGGGCAGGTGGTGTTTCTTGAGCACCTACTATGTGCCAGGCCTTATGCTCAGCTCTGGGCCAGGCAGAGAGAGGGGAGGTAGAGCTAGAGCACTAGAACTCGAGGTAGGGAGGCGGGGTTGGGGGCTGCTGACCAGGAGGCCCTCCGGTCACCTTGCCCACCTTTGTCCCCAGCTACGAGGTACAGCTGGGGGACTCTTTGATGTCCATGAGTGGCTGCAGCCTGGAGTGTTGGAAGGATGTGGTAGAGAAGGCCTGCTGCCCTGGCTACTGGGGGTCCCAGTGCTATGGTACGGGGTGGGGGTCGCAGCCTTTTCCTCACACCCCAGCCCCGGGCCCCGTCTCCGTAGCATCTGCCTGCGTCTCCTTCAGCTTTCTCAGTAAATGGATATTAGTGAGAGCGCCCACACAGCTTGGCTCTCTGGCTCCGGCTGCCCCAGGGAGGGGTTGGGCTGCCCAGAGCTGCTGGGGTCAGGGGTGCAGCGTGAGTTCTTCAGGGCACCGCTGAGTTCTGGTGGGGGTGGGGTCCACAGAGTGCCCTGGGGGTGCTGAGACCCCGTGTCATGGCCGTGGGACCTGCCTGGATGGCATAGACGGGAACGGGACCTGTGTGTGCCAGGTAAGGGCCTGGCAGGGCTGGGGTTGGGGGCGCCAAAGACGGGCCACGCTGACCGGGTACAAATCCCTGCCAGGAAAGTTTCGGTGGCTCCGCCTGCCAGGAGTGCCAAGACCCCAACCGCTTTGGGCCCAACTGCCAGTCAGGTGAGCGCTGGCAGGGCGAGGAAGCGGGGCAATTGCCCGCTCGGGGCCCAAAGAGACCTGCCCGTCTAGCCAGCCCCCAGCAGGCTTCCTGCCAGCCCCTCAGGCTCATACTTCCCCTCCCGGGATGTGAGCTTTCCTTCTACCTCCAGCCCTGTGCTGTTCTCAGAGGCCTTCTCCAGTAAGCGCCCCCCACCCCCGAGTCACCAGCCTAAGCCAGGTGCTTCCCTTTGGCTCCCACCACCCTTACGGTCCTGTATCACAGCTCTGAACTCCTGAGACTGAAATGCAGACTCAGTGTCCCTGTACGTCCCTCCCAGAGTGCAGCTGTGTGCACGGCGTGTGCAACCATGGCCCCCTGGGGGACGGAAGCTGCCTGTGCTTTGCTGGATACACCGGACCCCGCTGTGACCAAGGTGGGAGGGCCTGTGGGGGGAGGGATGGGGCCTGAGCCTCAGGGGGGCCGCTGCCTGCCCTCACCCTAATTTCTTTTCTTTCTTTCTTTTTTTTTTTTTAAGATTTTATTTATTTATTTGACACACAGAGAAAGATCACAAGTAGGCAGAGAGGCAGAGAGGGGGGCAGGAAGCAGGCTCCCTGCTGAGCAGAGAGCCCCATGCGGGGCTCTATCCCAGAACCCTGAGATCATGACCTGAGCTGAAGGCAGAGGCTTAACCCACTGAGCCACCCAGACGCCCCTGCCCTCACCCTAATTTCTTTCGAAGTAGGAAAGGCACACAGCTGGTCAGAGGGAGGGAATGTCATCTGAGTCCTCCACTGCCCAAAGGCCCAGAGAGGGCAAAGCTCTGACCAGAGCTGCACAGCAAACTGGGGAGAGCATCTTTACACCTGTGTTCCTCCCTGCCTGGAGTTTTGAGCCACCACAGTACTCCCCGCTCTCCACTCAGAGCTGCCAGTCTGCCGGGCCCTGAACTGTCCCCAGAACTCCCAGTGCTCTGCAGAGGCCCCCTCCTGCCGCTGCCTGCCTGGCCACATCCAGCAGGGCAGAGAATGCCGAGGTAAGTCATTGACCTAGAGGCCAGAGACCCAAGGTCAGGCTGAGGAGGGGCTTGGAGGACATCCTTTTGAATCCACAAGTACAGTCTGGCCATTTACGGAAGGTACAACGTGTCCCTGAGGGAGGGCCTTTCCCCAAGGTCTGGATCAACCTGCTCACCTCCCCTTTGGGCCATCACTGCAGAGGGGATGGTGCTCCTGGATTCCCAGCTCACTTGGGCACACACACACTCTCTCTCTGTCTGCCCTGGCAGCCCCTAACCCCTGTCAGCCATCACCCTGCTCCCCATTGGCCCAGTGCTCGGTGAGCCCCACAGGGCAGGCACAGTGTCACTGCCCCAAGGACTACCATGGCGATGGGACGGTGTGTCTGCCCCAGGACCCATGCACCATCAACTACGGTGGCTGCCCCAGCAACTCCACCATGTGTCTGTACCAGAGACCAGGCAAGGTGAGCCAGGGCCCTGAGTCGGGCCTGTGCCGTGGGCCCCCCACCCACATTGGAGACTGGACCCTGGGCAAATCATGGGCCTCCTGGGAGCCTCAGTTGGCCCACTTGTAACACAGGAAGAGGATGGCAGCCCTCAGCGGGCAGGGTGGTGGCTGAGCATAGCCTTATGGGTGCCAGTGGGTCTCGTGAATGTGATGCCACCCTCTTTGCCCTGCCTGGGGGTCCAGGCCTCCTGCTTATGTAAGCCAGGCTTGGTCAGCGTCAACCACAATGCCTCCGCGGGCTGCTTCGCCTACTGCTTCCCTCACTCCTGTGACCGGTCAGCCACCTGCCAGGTGACCCCCAATGGGAAGATCAGGTGGGCACATGAGCTTCGGGATGGGCACGGGGGACAGAATGGAGAGGGTGGTCTGGGCAGGGGCAAGGGTGCCTATGTGGGCATCCTCAGCTCGAGGGCCCACGGGGTCAGGAGGGTGAAGGCCAGGAGGTAGGGACTGGCCACACGCCCTGCTCTGACCAGTTCTACCCATGGCCCTAGCTGTGTGTGCAAGGAAGGCGAGGTGGGGGACGGGCGTGCCTGCTATGGACACCTGCTGCATGAGATACAGAAGGCCGGCCAGCTGGGTGTGGTGTTCCTGCGGCTGAGAGTCTCCCTGGCCATGCTGGGTGTGTGACCCCCCACCCCAACCTGCCTGTGACCTTGTCCCTCATGCTCCGCATTTCTGGCAGGGAGCGAGGGGCAAACCCTGCAGACATGCCCCGTTTCTTTGCCCCCAAGCTGTGGAAGCAGTGGGCTGTGCTGGGGTGTGTGATTGGAGGTGGGAGCTAGCTCCCCTTGCCCCCGATCCTGGTGCCTCTCGTCTACCCTAGACCTAAGCCCAGTGCCCTCCACCCAGCTCTCCACAACCTAGGACTGATGCATGAGGGTTTTCCAAATCCGTTCTGATCTCCCCTCTCATGGTTCCCAGACCAGGGCTGCCGTGAGATCCTCACCACGTCGGGCCCATTCACTGTGCTGGTACCGTCCCTCTCGGCCGTCACCTCCAAGATCATGAATGTGAGCCCCGCCCCCTCGAGGAGCTGGCTGCCAGCCCTGGCCTCCTTCCTGGACCCTGCCCCAGGCTTTCGGGCCCTGAGACGGACCCCGGCCCAGGCTCTGGGGAACTGAGCCCCGGGAGGCCACTCGTCCCCTCCATCGCTGGGACAGGGTCGGCATGGCGACCAGCAGCCACCCTGGGCCCTCTCAGCG